GTAGGTTCTAGAACCTAGGCCTAACTATATAGGTACTAGTAGTAGCAATCTATAACTAGGTTCTAGCCTCTTACGATAGACTAGCTATAATACTCCTAGTAAAACCGGCCCTAAATAACGCCTATAGCGTGCCTATCTATAGAGCCTTTAATATATAGGATGCCCTAGATAACGTGCTAGTAGGCCCTAAGGATCTAATAAAGGAGGAAGCTAAGAAGGAGATTACCTGCCTTACCCTTACCCCTATAGCGTAAGATAGTCGGTTATTAGTTTAGCCTTATTATATCCCTAGTCCTAGTCGTTTTTTTAACTAGCTTAGCTATAGAGCGCCCTTAGTTATAATTAGTTTTCCCTAGCTTAGCCGCTCTACGCTCCCGGCCTTACTTATTTATTACCCCGGCTTAGCTACCTAGTACCCCCGGTTTTAATAGTATTTTACTCCTAGATTAGCCGCCTCGCGCCCTTAGTATTAGTCGTACTAGGTTACGTCTTAGATAAGATATAAGTTATTCCCTATACTAACCTTAGAAATCTATATAACTTTATTACGATTCCTTATTAGCGCGACTCTTACTTAAATACCGCGGGAGACTAATAAGGATATCGGTTAATTCTTTCGCCCTAGGTATTTATTACGGGATACCTTATAGTCGATAATCTAAATACCTATAACGATATCGGCCTTCCTTAAGGAAGTTACCCTTAACTCTTTAAGGCTCCCTATAGAAGAAAGAACCTAGAAGCTACTAAGTAAACTCTAGGAAATTACCTAGAAATCCTAGAAATAATAACTAAGCGGATTATATAGATATTTTATAGAGATTTCCCTTAGGGATATATTATATAAGGAATATACTATAATTTCCTAAGTAATAATAGCTTCTTAGGGATTATACTAATATTTCCCTAAGAAGTTATTATAAGAATATAGCGGGGAAATTATAGAGAAATACCTATACTTACCTAGGGAAAATACTAGGAAATACCGCTAATACGCTATACTACTATCGTATAATTATAAGGTTAAGATATTACTTAGTTAAAACCCTAAGTAAGGTCTTACGCTCGCTATAGTATATATAGAAGATAGAGAACCTGCTAGATCTTAGGCGGGTAGAGAAGAATATAGATAGTTATTACTACTCTTACTTTAACTTATAAGACTAGTAGCTAGTTTATATTTAATATGCGTAATAACGTATAGTAGCTAGTCTATATAATACGTTTAATTACGTATAGTAGCTAGTCCGTTTAATTACCTATTAAACCTATACCGGATCTAGGTAAACGGTAAGGTTAACGTACTAGCCTTATACCGAGGGACTAGTATATAATACTATATTACTATTAATAAGGTAGAGTTTTAACTAGAGTTCTTAGGCTTAGTACTCTAAGCTTATATAGGCGATATTAAATAAGGGCGTAGGGTTAAGGTAAATAATAAGCTTATAGCGCTTATTTATTAATATATAGTAGTTAGTATACTTAACTTAATATATCGTTAGGCGGTCGCTAATAAAAAGGTTAGATAAAACTTATAATTATAAACTTCTATATACCTATAGTCTTAAAAGACTTATAATAAGCTATTTTAGCGGCGTTAAAAGCCTCGGCTAAATACTATACTATAATAGTAAGATAGCGCTAATTAGCCTCCTTAAAAATAAGTATACTTATATCTAAGCTATTATCCTTAGTATCCTTATTACTAGTCTTTAACTTATTAAGCTTATATAAGTACTTTATAATAGCGACTATATTAGCTTAGTTACTAAATATAAAAATAGCGGCCTTAAGAAAAATTAGCTTATTAATTATAATATTTAAAGTTAAGAGGAAACTTACTTAGTTATAAGTCGCGGTTTATCTATAATACTACTAATAATATATTAAGGAAACCCTTAAGAAAATATAGCTAATTAAAAGCACCTTAATAAGCTTAGGCTTAGTTATACTATACTCCTTAATAGCCGTCCTAAAATAATATATATATTAAAGCTTATAAGAGATAACCCCTTAGGCCTTAACTAAGTAAGCTTTAGCCTTAGATTAAGTACGCTTCTTTATAAGAGCGCAACCGCTTTATACCGCCGCCTAGGTACCCTTATTTCTAGCGCTATTATTCTTAGGTTTATTAATAAGAGTAGTTAAATCGCGGCCGTTTCTATTATTACCGTTATCGTTATCTTAGCCCTTATTTAGCTAGGTATTAAGATTATCTTAGCCTTTATTTAGCTAAGCCTTATTATTAATATCGGCCTACTTATTTTAAGGAGCGGCCTAGATAATAATCTCTTATTAGCTAAAGCCGCCCTATTAAGATAAAGTAGCTAGGTTATTAATACTTACTTAAAAGCGCTTAAGTATAGTCTCCTTACTAGCGTTAATATTACTAATAAAGGTAATAAACTTATAAGTTTCCTAGCTTATAAAGGTAAGCTTATTAGTAGTTAAAGTTAAGGTATTTAGTAAGGTAATAAGAGTATAACCCTTACTAATATTAGGTCCTAGACTAGAAGTTTCTTAGGGCTAGAATTCCCTTATACCTTTCTTAGCTTTCTTTACTAAAGGGGAACTAACGTTACTACGAGACTTTTAAGCTAATCGCTTATACTTTAAGGGCGAACCTACGGCTACCTACTCTTATATATAGTATAGGAAATTAGCGTTATAGTTCTTTATCTTCTTTAATATAAAAGGTATTATTATTAGTAAATCGTTAATAAAAAGTAATATAAAAAGGTATAAGGGATTAATAAAAAAAGGTATAAAACTCTATAATAATTATAAGTAAAAGAGTTAAAGAAGAAAATAAAATAAAATAAAGTAAGAGATATATATATATACTTTTTATATTATAATTACGCGGCCGATATATAGGCAATATTATAATAGTTACTTAGCGGTAACTATTAGTATAATAACTATTAACGTTATAGAGTATAGACTAATATATACTTATATAAGCGTATATATATAATATATAACCGAAACTACTTCTCTTTATAACTAAATATATATAGTATAGCGAAAGTAATATATATTAAAGATATAGCTAAGATATTTATATAAGAAAGGAGAAAATTATAAAAGCACTACTAAGAGGTATAGGCTAATAAAGCACTTAGGTATATAGTACTAATATATTAGTAGGGTATTAGTAAGGAATTATACCTACCCCGCTTATATATTATAGACTACTCGCTACTTTAATTAAAGAGGAAAAATCCTTTTTTTTATAAGCTTTAGTCTTATAATAAGGAGAATATAATATATATAGCGTAGTACCTTTAGCTATCTCTACTACCTAACTAATCGTACTATAATATATATTCCCTTATACCCCCCCCTTTTTAGGTAATTTTTATACTAATTACTACTATTAAGACCTTAACGAGCTATTACTATAAATCCGCGACCTTAACGTTATTACTATTATACGCGGCTAGCCTTATAATAATAAGCTACCTATACTAAGCTCCCTTATAGCGAGGGTATTAGAGATAGTATTATAGATAGTATTATAGTTATAGCCGGCTATAAGGGCATCCTAGCTACTTAATTTAAGTTAGGCTAGCTTAAAGCGGCTTACCGTAAGCGTTCGAAGGCGCCGGGGGCGCGACGAGCTTAATAAACTTAGTTATAGCCCCCGGTCTCTCGTAGCGTTATAATAAGGATTAATAGCTCGAGGAAATATAAGGGGAAGGGGATTAAGAGGAGGACGCGGCAGGAGGGGCGCGCCACCGGCTTCGTTAGGGCAGCCGGCTTCGTCAGGGCAGCCGGCTTCGTTAGGCGTTAGAGGGATCGTTGAGTGGGCGCCGCCGCCGCCGCCTATATAGCCGTAAGGGCCAAGGAGGAGCCGGATCAATTAACGGGCCGATTATTGCAACTTCGAGCTCAAGGCCCGGAAATGCGTTATTTAAGCGAATTAAGAGGCATGCGTTATATGGCCTTTATTGCCTCTTATATATATGCGGGTTGTGTGTGTGTGCGGGCGGGCGCAGGCGCGGGTGCGGGCATTTAGGCGGTATAGGTACTTGCCAGGCGCGCGCGGTATAAATAGGCGGGGCGGGCTAGCCTTGGTATGTATCTTGAAAATAGGTCGAGTGTGCAAACAGCAATATGCTATTGTGTAAATAGCAATACTCTAAATAATTACCTTTTTTCCCCCGGTCGGCGGCCGATTTTCAGGCCCCCAAGTACGGGGCAAGTGTCACACCAAGTACTCCGTACTATGTCATTATCAATGCCACCTGTGTCCATTTTTGATATGCATGCAGTGCAATCTCTGCAGGTCCTTTTGCGTCAAGGAGGGTATTTTTATATGGAGCAGTGTTGACCGATGGTTCATTCCTTGCAGCCCCACCTGGTTTGCCCAGTATCTTTTATATATATATATATAGTCTTACTATTTGCATAGACATATTTCTCTATTTACATAGAATTTCTTAAAATCCTCCTTTTTAATTAGTGGCTTAATCCGCTTAGTAATTAGTACTCCGCCGCGTGTATTTTTTAAGTCCCTCAAAAGTCGCGATCTTGCACGTCGCACTCACCTCGCGCGAGGGATAAACCCCCACAGTAATTAGGGCCCCTCCCCAAGGGGGACCCCTCCCCTACTAGCTCGGGTGCTCGGGTGCGCTTGTTCGTAATCGAGGCCTTCTTAGTAGGTACCTAGGTAAGGCAGCTAGGGGAAGTATAGGCAGTACCTTAAAGTAACTTTAAGGTACTTTAAGTTTAGGTGCTCTATATAACTCTGGGTAAATAGAGAATTTTGTCTGTGCAAATAGTAAGACTCTCTATATATATATTTTCCATTACGCTTACCCGTTGGCGGTCTAGACTATGACGCGGTAGGGGCTTGCCCCCTGCTGCTACTCTTTTCTATATAAACAAACGTACCAGCCCTTTACGTTTTGAAGACCAACCGGAATGTCTGCACAGCCCAATTCCTCGTCCATTGGATACCGTTTCAAAATTACATCAATTTAGCCAGTACCATGTCAGCGTTCGGAGGCGTTCAGGGCTACGAGACGCTGACCTCCGCTCGACAGCAAGATCGGCGCATAGCCCAGGGCCTCGCGCGGAACCCTTCTAAGACGCCAGAGCATTTGACCCGAGTTTTGTACATCTCTCCACATGGCAATCAAGAGTTTGAAATGTTCGTTCACGACATAAGTGCCGAATACCATCAAACCATCAGCCAGTCCCCACTAGGTGGAAGCGACATCATTGGCGCTGCTCAAATGGGAAGCCTCCTTTACAGGACCAGACTGGGCACGATGAAAAGACCTACCAGTGATCTTAGCAGCACAGCTCGATACTTCGTTAAGGCCAGATTCGATGCCGATCTCCAACCCAAGCTGAGTCTGCAGAAGAGAGTGACCCCAGGCGAAAGTTCAGAAGCGACTGTGTGAGTGTTGATCAGAAAACTACCTTATGTCTGTTTACTAAAGGAAAGTAAGTTCGCGACTAGAATCGCCGTCCGTATTCGAAGTTCGCCTCAAAGATTTTACTAGCATCGTTTCGTCATTGCCTGCTACGGAAATCGCTTCGAGCGACAGGAGTAACACCCTCCCTTTTTTCTCTTTTGAGCAGCGGTCTGGCTTGAAACAGCTCCAATGGCAGATTCTTCCTATGAAAGATGGGCCTTTGAGATACTCGCTAGTCGAGTTTGATAATGGGGGAGCGTCGTCATCTGATGAAGAGTCAACCCTGAAGCCCGACATAGTTCACGCAATCTATCACCACGCAGGACAAGGCGATTCACTATCTATACCAAACAGCGAGGGAGTTTTACTCTTGCCTGAGGACGAGACAGAAGAGGGTTCTAGGGTCGAGCTTTTAACGGTGGCTACTCTGCTAGGTGTGCTGTGGAAAGTTCGCGGCTTTGCTACACAACAGCAACACGAAAGTGTATCTCATAATGTCAAGAAAACACTTATGCAGCGTATTTTCAGCATAAACTGATTTGTTTCTTGGGGCGCAATGCGCAAGGTGAAGAATATCTATCTATGCCTTTGCCTTGAGGAACGAGGAACAACGTGACGAAAGGATCTTTGCCTTGAAAAACGAAGAGACGAAAGGATCCTTCTTCCGCCCCCCCCCCCCGCGCCTTTCGTAGGTACGGTCCGGCGGCCCGTACTGATCTGTCCTCAAACTCTGTCCACTGAGCAGGCTCGACCTTCGCCCAGTGAGCCTGCGGCTGTTGTCCGCGATTCAGCTGCCATCAGCCAGGAAGTTGGCCCCATCTGTGAGACGTCAATGCCGCGAGTATCGCGCCAGCTTCGACGGTAGACGGCTGCCTAAAGCCTGCTCGGTTAATAATATAGCCATCGGTTGCGAGCATCGGTACCCTAGCGAGCTTAATAACCTCTCTCCCGTCGAGGAGAGACTTGTTGCCCTATATACGCCCTTTAGCTATATTACTAAGTTTATAGTCGATAATAAGACCCGTTTAGGAATTAGCTACCGTAAGCACGTAAAAGGATATATCGTTGTTTTTCCGAATAAAGTAGACGATCTTATAGCTATAGTTCTTCCTTATCCCTTACTATAAGTTATTAAGAATATCTACGTCTCTTAGAGCGGTTCGGCTAAGCCTAGCTCCGTAGACGTTAGATACCTACTTTAGGTGCGTAAATCTCGAGTAGTAGCTACCCTAGCATAGCTATAGAGGAATAACCCGCTTTACGAGGATATCGCGATTAACTAAGTAAAGATAGACGGCTAGTAGTAGGGTCGTCGCCCCCCACAGCTCTCGACAGACCAAGATCTGATGCCACCGCCATCTTTCCCTCCTTTGCCGAAATGCCACGGATGGACGAGAATTATGTGGGATCAGCTCCCGCTTCTCCATCCGCCGGTGCGGAAGGAGGTGGATGGAGACTTTGACTGGCATTGGGCCATTATCTACGAGTTCGTACCGGGAGCTATGCAGGATTTGGCCATTGGCCAAATCCACCTCGATTTCTTTCATGCGGTTGGGTTTGCCTTGGAGGCGTACAAGCCTGACAATTGGCATGGGGGCAGGCTGATCGACTTGAACGATATTTGCTCACCATTTACCAGGGGTTGGCGTGGGAGTTCAGTCCGCCATCGCGAGGCCAAGGAATGATTCTGGATGTTAGATTTTGTCCGGGGTCCTGCCATACACCGCAAGATTATTATACGCCGGCCGAAGAATAACTTACATCCAGGGCGAGACAGGCCAGACGAGAAATGACCGCATTTCCTTATGCCGCCACGTGTCGCGTAGCCGGACCGATGTATTCGCACGTGCGGCTCCTATCAGGCCGCTTCCCCGCTGCCCAAAAACATTGCCCCAAGCATCACCCAAGAGCACCAAATAACGCGTCTATTTCATATTTCATAGTCGTGCCCCTTGAGCTCCGGCCGATCGGGCTGGCATATTTGAGCCAGTTTAGTTAGCTCTCTCCTAACTCACCGATTAGGTCGCAGTTTTTGGCAGGTCTCCCTAAGGTGTAGTTCCAGTTCATAGAAACCGACCGTTAGGAATCGTAACTGTACATGCCCGATCCACGCAATATTCTTGTTATGGACAAGAGCCAAGTAAACTCCGTGTCTAAACAGGTTGGTCGATGTCTCCCCATTGTTAGACCGGTCGAAGAACCTGGCTGGATCCTGCCAGGACTTGGAGAAGTGTAGCTTGACTACTTCAGGCAATGGATTAAATGTCGGGGATTTGGCAATCGGCTCGGGGGGCTGCGGCGACTCGGGAGACCAAGCTCTGTTTCTCACAGAGTGAAAACATTCGGATGAAGGCCTTCCCGTTGAAGCCGTACACGACGGAGGAGTCTCACGTTCAAAGTACTGAGGTTCCTTTTCCCTTAACTGATGGAAAACAAGCCTTTTGATATCCCCATCGAGGTTTGGCCAGACAGTGTTAAAGAAGTTGATTATCCAAGTTTTGTCAGTGAACGAACACGTTTCTACCCGGGCTAACTCACTGTTCCAGCATCAAGCTCGCGGTAAAGTACGCTCGCATGTTGGCCCATCTCATTAAATCGCTGTCATTGAAGGCGAGGCTTGAGGAGCTTGAGGCTGGAGGCGGAAGTGAGAAAGCGAAACTTGAGACTGGTAATAGCGGGGAGAAGGCGGCTAAGTTATGTCCAACGCTATTCCGGAAATGTGCTTTTCCTCAGAGCTGGAAAAAGGTCTATTTCGGGGCTGGCGGATGTAACCGCCCTCTGCCACCCTCCCGCACTCCTCGCCATCCGACCAAACGATCTGCATATTTATTGACTGGTCGGCACCCTTGGCCCCTGGTCACATGCAGGACTCACCGCAAGGGCCAAGGCGTCCCATGGTTGGCCTCGCCCACCGCGGCCAGGCTCATGGAGATACGAACGCCCAGGCCATGGGCCGCATCGACAATCACGACGATGTATGCACTACCCCGTGCGGGGGCGGCAATAGCCGGCTTGCGATCAAGCTATCGCGGTATCAAGCTTGCATCTTTCGTAGGTGTCTGTGGGGGCGTACCTAAAATTGAGGGTCATGATGCCTTCCTGGGTGACGTGGTGGTAAGAAAGACCATGATCCAGTATGACTATGGCCGTTGCTGTAAAAAATACAGTTGGAGACGACCCTTGCGAGTCTGCTTCTAAGCTGTCTCGCACTGAGTTCGGATGCGATGAGGCCGAATTGGTTGGAAGGGAGCGCTGGACTGAAGACGGTGATGTTACCCAGACATCTTCATCGGACGTCATGTTTCACGTCTATCCCGACGCGCCGCAGCCGAGCCTCGAGCCGCCAAGCTCATTTCCATCGGATCACGAGTCGATTTTCCCTTCGCGAGTGCCATCGCCAGGCGCACTGCCCCTGACAATGCTATGTCTGCCATTGCTGAGCGTTTTAGCCCACGTGGCGGCTGATGAGACTTTGGCGTCCACGGAGCCCATGCTGAGCCTCCACAGCCCGTCTGACCTAGCCATTTCCGAGGCTCAACACATGTTCCCTCATGAGACGGGGTGATTGTCACGTAACCTGAATGTGAAGGGCGTTGCCAAGCCCAGGGGCAGAAAAGGGAGGCGGTGGCGGTGCTGTAAGGAATCACGAAGCACATTCTCGGGCCTTGTCATATAACATCCCGGCCGACCCATCGGTAGAGATCAAGCTCACATAGGAATAACACCCTGGCTTCTGCTCACAGACAGTGTCGAGCGCGCGGCGCTAAGAGGTCTGAGCTTCACGAGGAGCAGCAGGAAGCACTGATGCACCTGAGCAAGGTGGTAATGCCTCCAATTCTCCATGCACAATTCCCAAGGCTCTCAGGTACTCGCACATTGATTGAACAAGAGCTATGGAGACAGAAAATCTCCCTACATCGTTTCCGAGATCTGTCCAATTTGCGGTTCGACTTTCGATTCCAAGGTTTCGCCGGCAGAGCCCAAGCTATTACGAATAAGCGCTCCAACGAAGAGGCCGGAGCGGGGAGAGGACGAAATAGCTGGCGTTGTTTTGAGAGCACCACGTTGGAAGATTCCACGTAATGTGTCCCGTAGGATAGAATGATAAGAGTACGGAAGGCAAATACGCGGCTGCTCGCTTCAACATCTCCAGAGAGGTGATTAACCTGACATGCGAGGAATGGGACCAGAATTGGCATTTAGTTTTGAGCTTTCTGTATATGACGATGAATTTAACAAGTGCACTTTGGCTTGCCAGTATGCCCAGTACGGACTATTCCCACAAACCCGTCCAGGCCGGTCACCTTTTTTAACTTGAGCTCGCTTATCAGTATCAGGCGGTAGGTAATTAGAAATTATCCCATCTCAGAATCATTGCTCGATTCGGCTACTGCCAGCCGCAAGATGCAGCTGCTCTAGACTTGGACTAACCGTGAGAAAAGCTGCTTTGCGGCATTGCCGCTCTAGAACAGCACATGGGCGACGTTTTCCTCGACTCAAGATCGACTGCCTTGAGCCGCTTGAGGGCATGATTTCTACTCCTTCCTAGTCTTCGGAATAGCCCTTACAGCAGCGTTGCATGGGCTTTCTCTTCCTGTATGAAGGAAAAGGTTGAATAGAGTAGAGTGCAAAGCTCTTGAGTTGTATGTAAATCCCCTTACGTATGATTCCCAGATCCCCGCAACTGAAAGTATCCTCTCCACAGCTCTTGCAAAACGCCCTTGGGATCCCACTTGGCCGCTACTTTATTCAAGCGGCTGAAGCTCTCATGCCCGTATCGTCGGAGCACGTCTTGGCTTTTGCCCGCGTAATTCATGTACACGAAGCCTCGGAAAAGCCCTCTCTTCTTGGAAAGCGCCTCAACGTCCTGTATAAACGCCTCCGACGACTTCTCAACGAGGGAATCCAGCCGTTTGTCGCTCCATGTAGTCGTCACCTGCACAATCATCAATGGTCCATCCTTTGGCTTCAGCCCGAGTGCGTTGCCGCCCTTCTTCTGCATTGCGTCGACGATGTTCTTGGATATGGGCTGGAAAACCAAGTAGGCCATGACTTCAGCGCCATTTGCGGCCGCCAAGAGCTCATTCACGTATGCCTCGTAGAGAGACACGATATCATGAAACATCTTTTCCGACGTCGTGGCGACAGAAGTGTCCCACCATGTCTGGCGCGAACCCCAGGGCTGGTCGATTGCTTTGGACAGCGCCGAGACACTGGCCACCTGCGTCACGTTCGAAATGGCACCCGGCACAGATTGGAAATTTTGGAAGGCTGTCGGGATGGTGTTTTGAGGCGGCGGCGTGAACTGGAACAAGCTGGTGAGAGCGATGAACTGTCCCAGGCCCGGTTGGTAGCTCAGGACAAAGTATGCGTGGGCCTTTGGGTTTTCCACCAAGCCCTTGTTGGTGAGGTCTTGGAATAGCGGGATGAGCGTTTTGTTGCGCTCGCCGGGGAAGACAATTGAGTTTGCCCACAGCTCGCCCTGGGAAAAGGCGACAAGGTCGAAGCGAGTGACGATGCCAAAGTTGGAGCCGCCGCCGCCGCGGAGAGCCCAGTACAGGTCCGGATTCTCGTCTGGCGAGGCATTGACGATTTCTCCGGAAGAAACAACGATTTCGTAGTTCCTCACATTGTCGCACGCCCAGCCATACGTTCCCGAAAAGTAGGAGATACCCCCTCCGAGAAGCAGTCCGCTCACCCCAACGCCAGCAGCCCGTCCGCCGACAGCGGCCAGCCCCATCGGGTCGAGGGCTTGAGACACGTTGATCCACCGATTTCCCGCTCCGACAGACACGGTTCCTCTGTCGCGCGAGACAGTGATGTCGTTGAGATGGACAAGGTCCACGGTGACGCCGTCGTCAATGTTGGACCCGCCCTCAAACGCCGTGTGGCCCCCGGCCTTGACGGTGAAGGGCGCCCTGCGAGATGTGAGGGTCTTCATGGCCTTGGAAACATCCAGACTGCTTCTCGGGGTCACGAAGCAGCGCGGATGGACCTCTCCTTGCCGGTTGGACCAGTACATGTTCTGGTTGATATACATGGTGGTGTTGGGGAAGGCAACCTTCCCGGGTAGGACCTCGGCCAGGGCATTGCACTACGCGCACTCGTGTCAGCATGACGAGCTGAAATTGGGCGTGTAAATTTTCATACCGCGTCTACGAAGTGGTTTCCATCTGCTGCTGCCGCCGCTGCCGTGGCGAGGGTGAAGCAGGTTGCCCCGACAGCTTCGAGAGCCAAGCTCAACGAAATTGGCCGCATTTTACCGGATCACCTCGCGGATGTCGCTCCGCTCAGGTTTGCTCAGGATAGAGATTGATTCGGCAAGGAGAGACGGAAGGAGTATCGAGAGTGCGGGTTTGAGGCGAGCCGCAAGCACCGATATCGGGGACCGACTTCAGCACAACGAAACCTGAAGCGAGCACCGAAGCAAGAGCGACAATTTCGAAAGAAATCTGCATGCTTTTATTGGACTCCCTCGCCTAACAAAGCTCATCTAACTGGGGCGCTAGCCGCCTGCAGGTCAGGGGATCACCGGCTCTGCGTGCATTTGCATGTCTCGTGCTCGCAGTGTGGCCAACGCAGGTCCAGCATTTTGTAGCTTCTCCACAAACACAAGACAATCTCTCGATGCCTCGGCTCTTGTGGAGGATTACAAGGTTGATCTGTGAGCTATCACACCAGGCCACGGAGATAAGGCGAGTCTAGTCCATCTCGTGAGGACATCCAACCAGCGCTTGTGATGACGAGCCATTACTGTAGGCGTGCAGCTGGCGAGCACAGCATTTATGCAAAGCAAGCTTGAAGGGAGTTTCGTCTTTGAGCGCCACGTCGCGGGGTGCACGGAGCTTCCAGGTTGGGCCAGCTCTCGTAGTGCCAGTCTCTGCTCCAATGAACCGAGACGAACCAACTGCATGCAAATCTACGGCATATCGGGACAAGAAATTGGGGTTATTCATAATCTGCGGACGACACAACGCTCTTAGGGAGGTGCGTTAATCAGTCGGCGGTATCTAGGGCTGGCCTCATCCAACGACTTGCTCACCACCACACGTCACTGAAGTCTCGGATCGTGTTGGTTCCGCAATGAACTTCACCTGACCCGAGGTGATGCGACAGCCAATCGTCAATGAAAGTCACGGTGTAGTTGATCGAGGCGTAGGTCTCGCTGACTGCCGCAGCCATCATGTCCTTGCCATTGATGAGGGGACCCCACGGATTCGGCGCAACAACCTTTGTTCGGCTGAGGACGATGCCATTGATGGTGCCAGGGTAAAAGGCCGACACCTGCTTTTCCTCTGAGCTCGGTTCTTGGCGACTCCTCAATCGGTGCGGCGGAGTGCCAGCTTCGCGGACGTTGCGAAGCAGGTGGTGCTTGACCCGGCCAGGCTTGGATGCTGGATTGTGCTCATCGTGGTCATGCTCGACCTCTTGGCGATGGGGCTCCTCCTTATCGTCGTCCTCCCCCAGGTCGAGGCGGCACATTTTGCCCACAAACGGCTTCGCATCATAGTAAAAGAGGGCGGGAAGGCGGACGACATGCTCCTCAGCAATGCCAGTCTCCCGTTTGATAATGTCGACATTCTTCTCGATCATGCGGCTGCAGAGCTCCTGGACGATGGTGAAGTTGGCCAAGTTGAGCACCTCGTTTATGGTGCTGGCAGGCACGCAGCTGGGATCGTTGCCCAACGACCTCGCCCGAGAAGTGGCCGCGGTTCCCCCAAAGCCGGCTTCCTGGGCCTTCCGAAGCATCTCGAGGCCTCCTTTGGGGTCGCTGACCATCATGACCCAGCCGAGCTCGTTGTCGACGGGAAGGAACTGGAGAAATTCATCCGTGTGCCCGACGAAAAGCCAAGAGGTGTCAATCTCGACAGGACTCTGCTCCTCTTGCGCGAGTAGGAAAGGCGTTATGCGCGGCTTGACTCCCCACTGAGATCCCATGACTATCCGTCCCGCGGGGAATGATTTCCCGTTGTGCGAATGGGGTGGGATGGTCTCCAGATTGCCCATCGAATCTGTGGAGTCGCCGGCGGCGAGAAACTGAACGGCGCCGGTAATGTTTGACCGGAGAGAAGTGAAAACCAGACGGCCGGACCTGCGCCAACTCTGGGCAGAGCGAATGATGACGTGGAGCCCGACAGGGCCGTCGGGACCAGGGATGCTCATGTATCCGGGCTCGAAGTAGTCTTGGACCCAGATGTCGGTTGCGCCCTCGGTGGTGTCGTTGAAGAGAAACAGCCCCCTTTCAATCCCGGCGCTACGCGTCACATTCTCGAGAGCGTGGATGAACATGTGCTGCCAGAGGTCGTCTCGGAATCCTCGCGGGTCGTCGAGGGGTATCAGCGCCGTGGGCAGGCCCGTCAGAGATGAAGCCTGTGAGAGCACCTGCTTGGTCTCTTGACCATGATGGTGCGTGAGAACAGGAGCGACGCGAAGGGCCACGCGGTCTCTGGCCTCGGCGTCGCCATCTCTGACGAGCAACTCGACCGTCACTCTGCCGTCCCATACGCCCGGGCGACGTACGTCTCGGGCGTCGATGCCGAGCCGGATACCGGCCCTGAGACGCTTGGCCGAAAAGGTATACTCTGGCGTGACAAAGACCCATCCCTCACGCGTCTTGTGGAAGATACGGACCATCGAGTCGGCTGTATAGTCCGCGATGTAGAGCGAACCTACTGCCGAGCGGCTCAATCCAGAGTTCGGGACTGTTCGAAGCGGCGCAAGGAACTTTGGGTTGCGCAGCACGTCATCTGAAGCGTCGTGGCATTTATCAATGTCATCATCAGATGTCGAGTTGAGAATCCGAGACGAGCATCGACGATCGGTATCGACAATGTTGGCCAAGAAGAGCGCGCCGCGCTGCCTGGACCACGACTCCTTGCCGAGAAGGTCGGAGTCTCCAGTCACGTCAACCCTGCCGTCACGATTGGTGTCCGCCACGATTGTGACCTTGAGCGGATGATGGTAGCCCGTGCCATGTTGGGTGCTCGTGGTCTCGGCGGCGGCGTTCCCGGCGTTGCCAGGGTGCAGGGCTTGGGCGGTGACGGAGAGTCCTGGGAGATGGTGTCAACGGACGAAGCCACCTCCACTTGAAGCTGATGGGGCACACATACCCAGAGCCAAGAGGGCTGCGACTTTGCTGATGGGCTGCATGGCAGGCTGATTCCGGGAGAAGCGGTCGTCCAGAGCCGTCAGACGGAAGCCTGGATTTCAACGGAGATGACAGATCTGCCGCGGTGTGCTTGTCAGGAGGCGCGCGGATCGGGAGGGTGATTCAACGAAGAAAGAGATGTTTGTCGTCCGCTTCCATCTTTGTTCTTGCCAAAGAGGTGCGGTAATCGCGGTGCCACGTGGACGGGCATCGAACCTCGCAGGCAGAGAAGGTGTGGTGGCAGCGACTGCGCCTGGCTGGTATTCGGGGTGCTCATGCCTTGTGACGCACGAGCACAAAGGCCCTTAAATTGGCTAGCAAATACGTGTACGGACAGTCGATGCTGGGGACTTGTTCCAATTCTCGCATCGACGGAGGTGGATGTCGGAGGCGGTATGTGTGGAAGTCAAAGGAACCGCCCCTGACCAGGCTTGTCGTGAGATCCATCGTTGCAGTTTAAGACGTGAAGTAGCTCAAGGCCACCGTCTTCAGCTCGTCCGCGGCAGCTATCCAGACCCTTATGAGACAAACTGCCTTGAGTTGTGCCGCTTTGGTAGATCCAGCGAACCGAGACGGCACCATCTCCGCAGCGGCAAGTAGCTCCCACGACTAGGTAGTATAAGGTCGATCCCTAAAACCGACTTGTGCGACCTGTTTGATAAAGCGAGGCAGCTGGCGAGAGGTAACGGCGTGGCAACGCGGGCTAGGAGAAAGGGCCGGGCAACGGACAAGGACCGAGAAACACGGCCAGTCAGGGGATTTAGTCTGGGCTCTCGCGGATTGTGCGACCATTGCAGAGCGAGAGGAAGTCGCCTCGGGGAATACGCGCTGGGCTGATGACCTGTTGGCCCAGAGCGTGCTCACAATGGAGCTATCAAACGCGCCGATCAAAAGAACGCTCAAGGAGAGGAAGGCGAAGGGGGGCCACTGCACTTACAAAATAAGCCCTCGGAGTTTTATCAACCGAATGCAGAACCGGCGAACGGGATTGGCCTGCCTTGGTGTATATGCAAGGCCCAGGTAGATGCATGAACCGGAGTCGGAGCCGTGAGGGAAGCCAAGTGTGGCCTGCTCGTCACCAAGTTGGAGATGAAACTTCAACGGTGCATTCCTATAAAACAGCATATCAGCAAGATGTCGTCAGTATAGACGATGCAGCGCTCCTAAGGCAACTGTGAGACAACCACTGCGGCGTGTAGCCAAAAGTGAAGTGTACACTCCAGCAAGTGTTCTGCAAGTGGATCCTGAACCCATGGAGATGCTGGTAGCAGCTGACAGTGATTATAGGGAACGAGTCACTCGAGACTGACAGCATTAAATCCAGGATTGCTGCATGAAGCTTAGAAATCACATCTCGGTCTCGACCCATTCGACGTCGCTTCCTGGCTTGCCCAGGCTCGGAGGGGACCTCGACCCGTCTACTGCGACTTACAGCTCAGTCAGAGGGCTCCGAAGATCAATCCCACAGCGGTGACACGTAGGCAGAGCGGAGTACGCATGGACCTTCGATACCTAAAGTGCCACCGTAGCTAGGTTCATGCAGCTTCGTCGAGAAGGCGCGGTACGGTGGCACGATTTACAAACGCAAGGGGCGCGCGTCACGTACTTGGCTCTCACCATATTGACAGTGCCCGCTATTTCGTTGCTCGCCTCAACTTGACGTACTGTACCTCTGAGTGGCCAGAGTGTGATGAGACCTCAAGGAATAAGGGCGCTACGTCTTATGCATTATTACGGCTGGCACAGTTACCTACGAAAGCTGGCATCGTAATAAGAACGACACATGTTCCATCTTATGCATATCTGTCAAAAACGTTCTAAAAGGCCTCCCCACAAGGTGTGGTTCTCTGCTCTATCAAAGTAGAAGAACTGTCTTGTTGGACTGGCATCTTTGAGCCAGCTCTTCCACTCATCAAGGCATCCTTACCACTATCCCTCTTTTGTCTCTGCTGCCTTTGCAAGCATGAAAACTCTTGCGCCCCTGGCATTTGCCGCTGCCGCTTTGCCTTTTACGAATGGCCTGCCTAGTACAATTGATGTCCACGCTGAATTGGTCAACGGGACAACGGTCAACATCACTTTTATCAATGAGAGCGCAGAATCCTTTAACATTCGTAAAACTTACTCTATCCTTGACGATAAGCGTCTGAGGGTGATGAATGTGCACAATGGTACGTTCTCTATGATAGTCCTCAGCGATTTATCCTTATTCCTTTAGTGGACCAAGGACTTCAGCTCAGAAACGGGTTGCCACCCGGTGGCAAACGGGAGGAGCTCGAGTTTCAACCCATGCCAGCACATGGCAGTATCAGTACAACTATCGACATACTTGATATCCGCGCAGTCTTCTGGCTCCCTAGTCATCATACTTTCCCGTTTTGGGTGGCGGGCAGCCTGGAGATTGCCGAGGAGGGGAGCACGACGATAGCCGGCATCATAGAGTACGAAACGGAGAAAGTAACCATAAACAACGAGCTTATCCCCCCGCTATCAGATGTCTTTGAAGATAGGACTGATTGCTCTCCGGAATGGACAAACGTGCTTAAGGAAGGCATACTTGGCTGCGCGTCTCTGGCAGGAGCGGCGCAGCAAGCTGCATCGTGTGGCTCGGCTCTTCGAATGGAGGATTACTTCAAGGACTCTAGCCAGGAAACGAGAGATTCTGTTGCGGATACCTTTGCTAAAGTTGCTGCCGAGTGCAGCCTAAACAACACACGACTTTACTTCACATGTCAACATCGTTTATGCCGGCTGAGCAACACCGGTGCATATTTCTATTTTTCAGACCCATCACATGTCCTCTTCTGCCACCGAGGGTACCTGGCACCAACGTTTCCGACGCCTGACAGTCAATACTCTGTTGTCCAGACCCTGATTCACGAGGTAACTCACATAGAGCGGGTCAAGGGAGCACAGGACCTGGGATATGGCTTAAAAGGCATAACGGATATTGATAAGGATGATAATCTTAACAACTCCGACACATATGCTTGGTTTGCTGCTGCAGTTTACCTGAACGAGGAGACGATGAACAAAACAAAAGTCGAGGAAAGGTGGGAAAGATCGCGGTACAGCCAATTCAACCCTTCTCGCATTGGGAATATGACCAGATCTAAATTTCTAAGTATTCCGATCAGTGATCGCTTGGAGCGATTCGAGTTTGAATAGATCTCTAGAATATATTCTCGATATACTTGTCAGAAACAAGAAACTCTTGTTGCCGAGGCGGCCCGCTTCCGATGGTCCCGAGCTGTCGCATCAAGAATAAAACAAGGCGAAAGAGTTTTAGCAAGCGTATCTATTTCTCGCAAGTGTTCTATCAATAACTCGGTTACGACCAGCCGAGTTCTGCGCATCAGTCTCTCGACTGTTCTTACCAACGTCACCAGACTAATGTTCAAGTGACCAAGGATTAGCTCGCACTCTTGATTTTCGTGTCATCTTCACTTGGAAACATATCAGCGTCGCGCCATGTTATCAGCGTGGCACGTTGACTGCTCACTGAGTGCATTTTCCGCGTCATTGCATAATAGCTTGAGGCTACAGGCCCGAGCAAGGGCAGCACAACGCCTTTCTTTTTTCCACAGAGCGTCAAGCTTCTGGGCCCTTGCGCGAGTCGACCAGTTTCCGAGTAATTGGCGGAAGGGGGCGGCATAACTCCCGGTGCACTCTGGAACATGACCGAGACCGACTCCTACACCAGAGTCGTCTAGGCTGGCTGATTGTCCAGTCTTTTCGATACTCTCTGGCCAGAGGCCCTGGGATGTCGTGCCCAAGTTGGTCCCTAAAACGTAGTCGACCTATATTTCTGGCTACCCGGATGATGTGACTATTGTGTGTGGTTTGGGGCATGCCGTGTCGCGTCCTGTATCACTTGAAACTCGTCCCAGACATTGGCTCTCAGGAGACCTTTCTTCACGGCGAAAATGGTCACCATGATGATAGCCACACTAGAGGACGTTGCTTTGGCCCATCTCCGCGGGAAGGCCTCTTGGCTTTGATGCTGCGCACGCCCGTTACCCTGAGGAACCATTGGGAGTACTGGGTGAAGACGGGACGTGTGGGCGCAAGAGTCTGATAAACTGTGTGCAGTGTGCAGCTCTCACCAACAGGGAGCATGCCGTGAGGCCAAAGACTTTTCATGTTGGTAGGTGCACATGTTTATGCTAGGATGGGGTTGGGTTGAGGGAGTTGCACATAGGTAGGTGGCTGACTGGCTGTTATACTGGTCAAAGGGGATCGGTTATTTACATTATTCTAACATGGTCAATTGGCTGCATCTGCTGGGCAAAAGGACCGCGGTCGATTCCCGATCTCGGTCATTTCAGCTGCACACAGCAGGCAAAAGGAAACCAAAGTCTACGCCATTGAGTCCCAGACGCGGCCGGCTTTCCCGCCATTCGTCGCCTTCCACTACAGTACACGTCAATATTGGTGGTCGCAAAGCCGCTGCGCCTCCGGCCTAAGCACATATGGATGTAGTTGGTGCAGCGTCAATTCAGTTGACGGCGGCTCATGTCCGAGATGACGCGGCAAGGGCGGGACAAAACGGACACTTGTGTGGTTGGTATTCGACGTTGGACTTGTGGCCCGCACGTATGTGCAGGTGTGACTCGTTGCCCCTTTGATTACAGGTAGAGAGAGGTATCAGTGCCCCGAGCAGGGAGGGCAAAACTCGCAGTGGCTGAGTCGGCGAGCCCCTGCTTGCTGCTGCCATGTGCTCAGCCCCCCTTGATGAGGTGAGGGTATTGGTTGCGGTACGGGCGCGGCTCAGTCTCGCGTCGCCGAATCCCATGAATGTACTGTAATTACTGGTTTTCCCTTGGCCCGAGGAAATGTTCCTGGCGGACATGCTGTTGGTGTGAGACTAGCCAAGGAAAATGACGATGGAGAAGGCTAAACAGGAGGATTGTCTTGGCATGTAGGTACAGGATTGCGATACCAACATTGCAATCCAATACAACGCGGGAGCCTTGGCCGGTGGCATTGTTCTTGGCTGGAAGAACCGTTGCCCACAGGAGACCCTGACCTCGTGTCAGCGGCGTGTCTACCGGTCGAGATATTACTGTCCAAGTTTACGATTGAGTGCCTGCCAAGAGTCTTTTCTCCCCCATCATCCCTCCAGGGCCGTTGGTCATCTTGTCGCCTTCCTGTTGGCCGCTCTGCGATGTCATCAGCTCTTCAATTTAAGTTGGCGACTGCGCACAAGTCTGCCGATAGTGTCCATTTGTCGTACGTGCATTCACGAGCAGCTACTCTCAGCAGCCATGAGCCTCTACAAGCCTCTTCGCTTCCCACGTGAACAAGCCGTCGGCCTGTTGTCTGACCAATGGCCAAGTAGTTGTCGTGTTACGTACTTGCCGTCACCAGCCTCGAGGGGCGTCGCTTGAAGGGATGGCCACGGGAGATTGCGCCAGTTCCCGCGTCCGGATCAACGACTAATTAGCTGCGGCCCCCTCGGCCATGCTCCGGGCTCTACGTAGATACAACATAACTACCGTACCGTATACAGATACGGTACAGGCAAATCGTCACGCCCGGCTTGGACTCTTTATCCTTGGCGCCCGGGCTCTTCTGCATTACGGGGTGCGCATGTCGCGCCAAGACGTGGGAAAAAAGAACCGACGGAATCGAAAAACAAAGCAAAAGCAGCAGAAGAGAAAAAGGAAAGCGGTATTCCGTCCGGAGCATGCACATGTGCTGCATCAATGTAGGGAGTCACACGGGGGGCCACGAGCTGCATCCAGCAGTCATCTGCCCCTGTCCTTGGGTCGAAGCACAGGGCCAGAAAAAAGGGTCGAAGCCCTTTGACTATCTCGAGTTATCTCTTGGCCTGGCCAAGGATGTCTGCCAGCACACCATGCAACCAGCCTTGCATCTGTGATACCGTAGAGGCGACAGGCAAACAAGTCGACGCTCGACGCTTATCAGTTGAGGCGTCGACGAGGTGATGTGCCAAGATAGTCAACTCTCCGTCTCTCGTTGCTGCGGGGGCCTTCCGTGGGAGATCGGCCGGGCCCCCGACCCCCCGACCCCCCGACCCGGCATCGTCCAGACACCACCGGCCATGTCCCTGTCTCAAGGGTATCAAAAAGCGAGACCCGATCTGGTAGAGAGCTTAAAAATTATATTGCCTGCATTGGCCGCCTGGAAACAACCCGCCTGATGTCTGGTGATTCTGGCACCACGCCAGCTCTATTCATCTCTGTTGCTCAAACGGATACCGCGTCTGCCACCCCTGTTCCAGGCGCCTCGGGATCTTGATAAGAGCAAGGAAACTTGCTTGGGCCGATGATCCGACGTCAACAGAGGCAGGGATGGATGGGAGGGGGCTTGGGGGGGCGGGCAGGTGACTCGGCGCAAAGCTGCCCGCCGTTATTCCCCTTCGAGGAGCAGTCGTCGTTGGTTGGCCGTGCCCCAAGCCCCCGAGCCAGCCTATCAGCGCCCGTCGCGATCGTCACTCAGGTTGCGTCGCTGCATGGAGCTATCGCCCGGGGCCAAAGGGGGGTGTCAAGCCTCTCCTGATACCGCGTGTCGGTTGACTCAAGGACGCACCCCCCTACTCTGCTGGGCCACGACAGGAGGGAGGCTCTGTAGACGTTGGCAAAGTTCACAGATGATTGTGACGAGCCTTATCATTGAACAACGACCGACCATCCCTGTGTCTTAGCTCAAACTCTGATGGCCGCAATCGACAATAAAGGGCCGGGCCCCTCCGTCCCTCGCCGGGCCCATTAGATGGTTCTGTGTCTCCCTTGAGTTTGTTCTTCATCCTCGTCTGCCCTTGGCCACATCTTCCAACTACGGACGAGTCGACATAAATTGCGCCTTGACCCATTCCCCCAGCCAACACGCCTTGGTCTGGAGCCATCGACACTGGATGTGCGAGAGCCATGACAACATAGACTGCCCTGGCCCCACGACCCATCAACATGGCCGCCTTTGACCTCTTTCCGAACCTCCCGTGCGAGCTGCGGCTCGAAATCTGGAAGTTTGCCATTCGTCCCGCCGGCCGCGGCGTCCACCGCTTCTCCATCTTCAACCACCACACAGACAAGACCGACGTATCGAGGAGGCTAGCCATCACCAACACCAATCAGAAGCAAGCCGTCCGCCACGCAGCCGCCGCGCCGCGCGTCCCCGGCGCAGGCGACGACCATGGTTACTCGTGGACCGAGGGCAACGACTCGGCCTACCTCTGGGATGCCGGGCTCTGGACCGCCTGCAGGGAGGCGCGCGAGGTCATGATGTGGCACTTTCGCGTGCAGTACTGGGACGACGCCAGACGGACCCTGGTTCGCAGCCCGGGGCACTGGACTCCGGCCGCCGTGGCCGAGGAATTCGAGGACATTACCGCCATGGCCACGGCGCGGCACGGCGGCCGCGAGTGGCATCTGATGATGCAGCCGCACAAGGATCTCTTCTGGCTCGAGCCCCGCGACTGGAAGGCGACGGTCGAATGGCAGACGCTGTTCCTCGACCTCCCCTTTGCCTCGTTTCGCCGAGGCTACGGCCACCTGAGTCACATTGCCGTCGAGCACGACCCGAGCTGGAATGTCGACCTGCCCAAGGACCTCGGCGCCCTGCTGCAGGAATCGACGCCGCGCGGCTTTATTGCCCGGGCCATGGCCGAGTGCGCGACCAACAAGCTGTACTGTTTCATCTGGCTCGTTGATCGCGCCCTTGTCCGGGCAGATCCCGCAGACGCCGTGTCCGAGGACATGGAGCATGGCAGTCACGCTGAGGAGCAGGAGGAGGAGGAGGCGGCGGAGGAGGAGAGTGGGAACGAGGGAGAGGAAGACGCCGAAGAAGCCGATCAGGAACCCTCTTCAGATTTGATGACCTTTTATGACTGCAACCGCGTCTACATGGACACGGACAGATCCGACCTCGTCCCCGACAAGTACGACTCTGATGCAGAATACGAAAAGACGGCCTTGCACTTTGTCCAGCTGCTCGGGACCATTGGCAACGCCGACTACTCCCTCATGGGCGACGAAGACGGCACCGCCGAAGACTTTGACTTCAGAGTCGACGAGTATCTCGGCGTTTTGGCCTGCATGTAGACGACCTTCTCCTTTTCAGTTTAGCCTGTGTCTTCCCGGGATACCACTGGCGTTTTCGGACCGCCACCGAGCGTGCGAGCATCAATGAGGTTTTTTTGTTCATTGTCACGAGGGCACATGAAGCATGCATCATCCATACCATGTATTTTGGGCCATGAGACCGTGTCTCTGCAGCATAGATTGCTCTGCATTGATTAACTTGATTTGACGCAACAATTGTCCCGATTCCCTTGCGGATCAGGGCACGCACCGGATTCGGCGGACAGGAGGGCGATCTTTACCGCACCTTGTTCTTGGCACGTACAATGAATGGCATTTCAAGGGCGACGCTTTTCGAACATAAGTACTCTCCCATGAACCAGCGGTCCGGGTCCTACTTTCTGTGTATCCTTTCGTCTCATGTTTTGGTAAAGCCGGAGTCCATACTCCCTTGACGTATCAGCCGAGTCATGCCGCGTCACTTCCAAGACCTTTGGTCCATTTACAATCACAGGCGTTCTGGTCGCGTATCAAACCCAACATTCGCTGGTAGCCAGCTTGACCCAGCTCCTGGAGCAGCATTGTTTGGTGTTGTTCGAGCCGGTCCGTTCTGGAATAGGACCTGAGAGCCTGGGTAGGAACTAGGAACAGTCAATTCTACGCCTCCCCAAGCTGAATCTGCCGAGACATTGTGGCTTGCCTGCTTTGTGACCATATCCTTGAACGGACATTGGATCTGGGGTCCAAGGTCGCTTGACACAGGAACACGAAGTGGTCGTCCGAGGAGCCCGCCCCAGCCTCGGATTGCCAAACTGGCCACTTGAGTCGGTGGCTACCCAGCGAGTAGTGTCGTGTAGGTTCGAGTTCAAGCAGTGCACCAGAGTCGCTTTGGCATCGCGAAAACGCTGAAATGTGTCCAAATCCATTTCATATTGGCAGCAAGGCACATTCAAAAATACCGGGAAGCCAAAAACACCCGCAACGACGCACAGCTTCCGACCCGATTGAGCAACCCTCGACATGTGCTCACCAGCGGATCCATTACGCTCAATGCTGGGTCGCAGTGCTCCCATTCGTGTATGCCCAAGCTCTTGCTTCCCTACTTCATACAAGGTCTTTCTTCCTGTAGGTATGCCCCAACTCCTCAGTCAACATAGTTCCGGGATGAACTACCAACACTCTATGCTGCCAACAAGGCGACGGCCACACCGAGAAGCGGAGCCATGTTGACAGCGGCGGCTGTCGGCGCGGCACCTCCAGACGACGCGCTGGTGCTATGGGTACTGGTATGAGAGGCCCTTGTCCCCGTCACCGTCGCATCGCCGCTCTTGGTTACAGTCGTCGTAGGTGTCGCGGCCTTGGTGCCGACAGAGCGCAGGCTGGAGCCAGTGGGTAGATTCGACGTGAGGTTCTCTGACAAGGTCTGGGTGATTTTCGTTGAATCCGACCGCTGCTGGGCAAGCGCACTGGCAAATATGCCAAAGGCGAGTAATGCTTGCGTGGACTTCATGGCGTATGTCGATTGTGAGTTGCGATAGAGCCGTCAATAGCTTTGCAGGCGGCGTGGGCGGTCAAGTCAAGCACCTATCGGGAACCAGGAGTATGTATGTATAGCGTCGGAGTTACATGGAGGGTCTCTTCCCCCCTTTAAATCCCCAGTCCAAGAGTGCTTGCGTCCTCGAGATGCACCTCATGCTACCATCATGCAAGCAACACTCCATTTAGGCAGCTAGCCTGGCTTCCCCTCAAAAGGACCTGTAAGCTGAGGGGCTGAGCATCATGACGTCGCTGTGCATGGCGTTGATTCGACGGCCGGGTTCCTAGATGACGAGAAACAAGCTTTCAAGCTCTGTGAGACGCACGTTGCTTCTGACGTGGTCCCAGTGAGGGGGCTGCCGATGGAACCGAACGTTGAAGCGGTCGCCACGGGATCTGTTTGCCGAGACCGCGCCCTGCAGATGTCCGCCCGCCTTTACATAAACATACACACGGGAGGGTTCTCTCCAGTAAGCATGAGCTAATGGGTTTGCTACGGGGTAAGGGTAGCCTCGGTATCTGGAGAAGAAAGAAGCTTGTATCGAGGTTGTGCCACGGTGCCGATACAGGACATGTACGTGCATGGATAGTGTCGCTTGACGGCGGCGAATGGGGGCCATTGACTGCGTAATACATCGACCATTGGATGCGTAATGTGGCTTTTGGATTCCAGTCCTAGTTCGTGCTCCCGTTCAGCGCCTTAGTGATTCTCCTAGGTCATGTTGCTGAGCTCCTGGAGTCCCGTTTCATCTATTCTCACTTAACGTGGCAGGGCAATGCTTGCATTCAAGGAACATGTCGATACATGTCTGATTCCATATCAGTGCAGTCGTGCAAATAAATGTTTGGTAATGCGTGGAGGTTTACTTAAGGCTCGAGGATTGCACACGATGGATGTCCGCCGCTTTGAACTAGGATGACGAGACAGGAAAGCCCAGCGTATCCAGCCTTGAAATACAAGCATTGCCTCGTCCATAAATGGCGGAACTGGTGATGAGAGACCAATCGAGTTCGAAAATGCCAAGACTTGACGTGAGCGTGCGCCAATTGTCGACAACGAACTTGTCCGTGGCTCCGCACAGCAATCTCCATCGGCTTTTTGGCAGTCAGAGAATATTCTCATTCTGTATGCCTGACGCAGAGTCTTTCAGAATCTGAATGTCTCTGCAGTCTGCACGCATGGCGGCCGCGCGGCCGTGGCCCAGTTATCAAGGGTGGTCAGAGTTGGACTGCTGCCACGCAACGACGGGGCATGAAATATGCTCAGAGGGTGCCATCATCAGTGACTATTCGGTCATGGAGCCCGTGCGCTTCGTACACACACCAGTGGAAAAGCCGCAAATCGGGCTCGGCGTAGCTGGGTAGCTTCGAGGAGGGTTATCTGTTTCACTACAGTTAATGTATAGTATGGAGTAGACGTCGCTCGATTGACGAGAGAAAGATACTTAGCAATGATGATATGCGATGAAATGAAAGTCCAGAGACTGGGCACACGACAAGGCGACAGTGTCTTTCCATGTAAGATGAGCCCTGTCAACAAAGGGTGAACCGTCTTTTTCTGCAACTCGAGATAGGAGTAAAATGCCAGGGGCTGTGGAACAAGCGACTATATCCTCGTCTTTTGAGACCGGACCCGGACGATATTGGAGCGAGTCTCACGGATACAAAGCTCCTGTTCTGCATTTTTTTTGCACTGTTGAAGTTATCCACGCGTGCGCCGTACACTCAATGCTCACATGGTTGAAGATGAGAGACTGAAGCAGACAATACGGCTCAATCCCACTTGAACAAAGTATGACTTGAGTGTTGCTATCTCGCATGAGTAATAAAGGTCGGCGGTTAAGCGACCGTCGAGCATGAACAGGACCGGCAGTTGAGCGTTTCCAGCTGATTAACTTGAAACGTTTGGCCTACACTTCGTGGATGAGCTGGTTAGCTGTATCAGCGCCTCAAGGACAGGAGCACTCCAGGTGTCTAGATTTCTCGACGCTGCCGTTGTACATGCACATTTGCCGGGCAATTGACACCTCCATAGGGCCCGGGCCTCCATCCATTGTACTATCGCCAACTTCAAGCTTCATGGCACGGTCAGCTGCGCATGCTGATTATCCAACAGGCGGACAGCATCGACTGGTAGAGATAGTGTCGGCTTAAAATTGATGGGCTCACGTCCGCTAACACAGCCCTCGCGTCTCGGAGGGGCTTCAAACGCCTTTTGAGGGCAACTTATCCTAAATGGCCCCCGAGGCACGCATCCGAACACATGCTAGGGCTTCTAAGCCTGGCTAGAGGCTGGGGCCTTGTCTCTTCCGTCCTCGGTAAGCTCGCAGGACCGGAGATTTGCGCCGGTGTCTTGACAGCCATGTGGCCTTTTCACGTCTGGGGTGCATGTCCCCTCTTGCGGGTGCCCTTGGCTACATGCTGATATTGCAATGCGTCCTCCCTAATTGAGCCTGGGGCTTTGTAGCCGCCGAGCCGATGACCGCTTGCATCGGCCGCCAGAATATCAGGTTGCTTACATGTGCAGTAGGCTTCAAGCTGCTGCCGGCCGCTGCCGCAAAGAGAGAGAGATTAAGAAAGGCGACCGTCAGTTGATGCAACAGTAGTACAGGCCATGCATTTAAGGGCGAGGCCCGAAACTCGAGCTGGCTTGTGAACCATTCCCGCGGCCTGGGCAGCACATGCCGAGCTTTTGCTGAAGTGCATTCCCCCTTCATTCGTCAGTCAGAGGGCTCAGCGCTCGTTCTCGGGCTGCACACGTAGAGATGGTTCCGCTGCTATCCCTACTAAACGTCGCCGTTTTCGCCTTGGCCACAGGTATAGGCGCGACAAGTAAGTCCGCGTTGCCGACCGACTGTCATGTAGTTTCATGGTGCTGAAGCTGACGCCAGCGAATCTGCAACTTCAGGAGCTTCGTTCCCGAGCCTCCGCGACGTGACGCTTGAAGATCTTCAGCATGGGTTCGAGCAGGGCTGCTTCTCTAGTACAGACCTAGTCGAGGTTATACGCTCCAGCTCCCACTCATTACGGCCCGTGTTGTTCCTGACAGGTTCACAGGTGTATCTCGAGCGCATCCGGCAGGTCAATGAGCAGGTGAACGCTGTCACGGAAGTCAACCCGGACGCGATCGACATTGCCAAACGACTGGATAATGAGAGGGCGCGGAACGCCATCCGTGGGTTCGTCGCATTTCTTCGATGACTCTGCCTTGCTTGAGCCCATGCTGACGCCAAGCTATGTGAAGGCCTCTGCACGGGATTCCCATCCTGCTCAAGAACAACATTGCCACGCTAGACAAGATGAATAACACGGGTAAGCTCGTCCACGCAAAACCCTTCATACGTAGGTCCCATCTGGCTCACAAGACCAAGCTGGATCATACGCTCTGCTCGGAGCCACCGTCCCACGCGACTCCACGATAGCGAGGAAGCTCCGCCAGGCAGGGGCCGTCATCCTCGGCAAAGCCAACCTCAGCCAGTGGGCCAACTACCGCTCTTCCAACTCGACCAACGGCTGGTCCGCACTCGGCGGCCAGGTCTACGCAGCATACCACCCGAAGCAGGACCCCAGCGGCAGCTCGAGCGGAAGCGGCGTGGCTGTCGACCTGGGCCTTGCCTTTGCGGCCGTTGGCACCGAGACGAGTGGCTCGATCTTGTCGCCGGCAGAACGCAATAACATCGTGGGCATCAAGCCTACCGTTGGACTCACCTCGCGCCACCTCGTCATCCCCATCTCGGAGCACCAGGACACAATCGGACCCATGGCGCGGACGGTGAAAGACGCGGCGCACCTCCTCCAGGCCATGGCGGGACAGGATCCTCGGGATAACTACACTTTGGCGATTCCCTTTATCCCGGACTACGCCGCTGCGTGCGACACAGAGGCCCTCGACGGCGCTCGCATCGGCGTGCCTTGGAACGTCGTTTTGACGGCAGACAAACCCGAGGATCAAATCTCCTCTCCCGAGCTGGAAGCCTTCAGGGCCTCGATAAAGGTCTTGCAAGACGCTGGAGCGATAGTCGTCGAGGCCAACTTCACTATCGACAAGAATCCCGACCACGCCCGCAACGGCGACATTGTGCTTCAAGCAGACTTTATGACCAACTTGGCCAGTTACTTAGACAAACTCACTTCCAACCCGCAGGAGTTGCACACACTCGCCCAGGTACGCGAGTTTACGCGCAAGACACCCGTAGAGCAGTATCCAAACCGCAACACGGGCCTCTGGGACCCCATCATCGACAAGCTTGGCTTCAACAACACAGACGCGCGCTTCTGGGCCGCCTACCAGAGCGTTTTGAAGTCGGCGCAGACCAACGGCATTCTCGGTGCGCTAACGAGGCACAATCTTAGCGCTGTCGTGCTGCCCACGTCGCTGGCGCCGGAATGGGTTGCCGCCATCGGCGCACCAGGCGTGACGGTGCCGATGGGGTATTTCCCGGCGTCGACCGCCGTGACCATGGAGCCTCGCGGCGAGCTGGTGGAGGCGGGCCCGTCGATTCCGTTTGGATTGAGTTTCCTGGGACGGCGCTGGTCCGAGGCGCATTTAATTGCGCTGGCACATGGCTTCGAGCAGCGGACCTGGGTCAGGGGCCGAGTGAGGCCACTGGTGATGCCTGAGGCCGAGGTCGCCGAGTCTGCCGCCTGCCAGATGCCCAGAGCCGGGTACCATAGAGCAAGGGTTGTGGCGAGCTCGTGAGCGATCATTGCTCCTGTATAGTCTCAGCCATCAATATAAATGCAAGCAGGAGATCGGCTGTCCAGACGTTGGGGATACATGTAGGACGAGGATATCCCCGAAGAGCCGGTGCTCTTTAAATGGTCCATTGGACCAGGTTTTAGCTTCATCCCAGCACGCACTCGCCGACAACGTGTGAATCTGTGACTTGGATAGCCCTGCCTCGGCAGACTTCAACAAGTTACACGGAAGTGCCAAGCCCCAGCACTGGATCGGGGCCTCGGCAGTGGCCAAATTAGCCGGGCAGGGGGGCTTCTTGGTTAACAAATGGAAAGAGGGGGGCCGGTCATCTGTCAAGGAAGACGTGTTTCAGATAAAGCCAGATGCCAAGCGGGCCGGCCCGGCGCCAAGGACCCGGGAGTGGGGCTCCGCGCCGTTGCCCGCGCCGCCCGGGACGGGAGGGAATATTCGGAGTTGCCGTTGGCTGCGCCGGCGATGGCCATGTGGCTTCAGAGACAGAGATTCTGGATGCCGACTCTTCATTCGCTCCCATTTGTATCCCGCCTACAGCGATCGAATGCGATCGTTACGTTGGCACCGGAATGCTTAGCTGGGGATTGCTTGACGCGACCTTAACCTCTTTGCCAGGCGTGAACACGCTCATGCTCGATTCCACGTCAGCTCAGCGCTCATACGAATTCTGATTAATAAGTATCATCCTCTGCCAAGGTCTGTCCATCTCTTTTCGTACCGTACTTGGGTTCCAACTCTACCCACCACACCAATGCGATCGTCCTTCTCAAGCTGCAGCGCGACTGGGACGCTCAGATCACAACCGTGCGAGGGAGACTGGTCCAGCTCATTCGGTGCGATGTCAAAGAGTTTCTTCAAATTGCGTTTTAAACAGCACGAGACTGCTGACATTAGCCCTCTACATTAAGTACTTTTCAAACATGTAGCGCCTGAATCCAGTAACCGCATGAAGCATGACAAGTCCGTAAGGTGTCCGAGAAACAATCACCTCTGCCCTCTCTCAGCCGGCTGCTTCACCTCCCTGTCGTATGTAGTCGAATCCCCAAGCTCGACAGGCACAAACTGGCCTGCAGACCTGTCAGTTCCCAGCTCTGCTGGACCATGTCCCATCTTCTCGTTATAGGCTCTGCGGGTGCCATCGGCTGCCACGGCGGACAATTCGGCCGTCGTGGCACCTGCGCCATCATAATGACGCTGTGCGTCGTACTGCGTGGCTGAAGGCTGGTAACTGTTCCATTGCTGCGAGGGAGACGACTGATGGTTCGTATAGGGAGAGTTGTTCGTTGTGAATGGGCTTGTTGTGCAAGGCGAAATCATGCTCTGCGAGTTCGGCGAGAAGTTGTTCTGGTAGGACGAAGAATCTCCTCCCTTTGCCACTGACGGATCCTGCCACTGTTGCTGCTTCTTCCGCTTGACCTCGAACCGCTTCCTCAGCCAGATGATTACGAATGTGACGAGGAAAACGGCGGCGAACGTGACCCCGACGCTTATCCCGGCAATAGCTCCTTTTGAGGGTCCCGGGTTGATTTGGCTGTTGGCTTCGCTTGTCGACGTATTTGTGGCAGACGACGTGACGGATGAGGCAGTCGAAGTCGACGCGGCGGTTGAGGCGGTTGAAGACGACGAGCTCGCAGGAGGCTTGCCGAGGAAAACACCGGTGTTTTCCTCGATCTCGCTCAACGCGCCGGCTCGCAGCGAAGCCGCGGGGCATCCGTTTGCTTGGCAGGGGTTCACGGAGCAGCAGCCCATAAAGGGCGGCTGTGCATAGGCACATGCGTACCAGGCAGTTCCGGGCTCGTTTTTCACGCAATCCTGCGCGGGGATGTCGTTGTAGGCCGACTTGTTGAAGCTCGTATACTCGAGGCTCTCCTGCGGACAATTACCATCGCTGGTGTCGCAGGGGTTGACGGAGCAGCAGCCGACGAAGCGAGCCGGCTTGCCGGAGCAGACGTAGAACTTGCTCCTCTTGGGACATGTGATTCCCAGTCGGTCCTCGGCCTTGACCATTTCGATATGGTGCTGGTTGGGATTTGGCGGTTGTCGCGATTTAATCCGGCTTGTCTGAATGTCACCACACGATGGTTGGCTGCTTCAACTCATCAAGATCGTACGATATGTGTAGCCAAAGATTGGAGAGAAGCAGGATTGGTGGGGAGGAGGAAGAGAAAGAGGAGAAGCATGCGGGAGGGGGCCCAGATCCCTTCTACCGCCGCCTGGACTCTGCTCCATGACCCGGCAGACTGGCAAGGCGGAAATCTCTTGGCTACCTCCGCAAAAATATCTCTCTGCTGTTGGCCGGACCGACTTCGTGGTTGTACGTGTTGGCTCCCATTACCCACCCCGGCAGCCGTCAGCGCGGAGCGTCAGCCCCAGGTCAGCCGAGTCCCCGCGCCTTCTCCGAGATGTGGGATACGACGCTGATGCCACGGCTATACCTTGCAACTGCATTGCCGTTGAAGCATGCATGCTGAGGTTGGAACAAAGGAGGGATCTACCGCCCCTTCGACTCTGACCCGAAGAGGATCCTAGCTCGTGTCAGTACAGCCGACTACATCGCGATAGTCAAGAGGTGTTGGTGGTCATCATTCGAGAGGCTTTCGTGTCACAGAGTGGCCGTGTGTCAGCCGTTCTTCGTATCCCTAGTTGCGGAGAGACTTTGGATTCCCGCGCCAGCACCTATTTTTCTCTCTCGCAACTCTCTCGTCTCGCCTGCCACTCATCTGGCACCTCTTTGTTCCCACCCCATGCAGCCTCCGAGCTCCGCGTGCCCCTCGGGATCGGCACATGTCCTGGCTCAGGTTGGACTTGATCCCCCGCTGGCCCGTGACGCCCATCCTTGACCATAAACATTCAGGGGTTGTCCGCCCGTCCTCGTTGCTTCCCGTCACTGCTCTCCGTTGCCCACGGCCGTCCCTCATATCCACAGCCTGGCCTAAAAAAAGAAATGAAATGAAAGGCGGGAAACCGTTCATCAGCGACGCCGGGTGGCTGCGTTCTTCGCGCTCTTGCCTTTGGCCTGGCTGCTCTTCTGCTTAGCAGCACGGGCGGAAGACTTAGGATTCAAGAGCTCTTCCAATTCTTCGTCGCCCAACACGGCTGGGATATGGCCATCGTCTTGCAAGGCGTGGTCTATACCCACGTCCTTCGATATCTGCAAGTCGGAGATTCGGGAGTCGATGCTTTCGCACGCCATGATGCGCACCAAATGCGACTCCTTTTTCTGCCCTATCCGTACAACTCGGGCGAAGGCTTGCTTCTCTGCCGTCGTGTTCCACCAAGGATCGACAATGATGACCCGGTTCGCTGACGTCAAGTTGAGCGACTGCCCGCCGCATCTCATCGTGGAGATCTACATCGACCAAGTCATCAGCAACTGCATCGAAAATTACTTCAACGGGAGGCTTACCAGAATCTTCTTGGTCGGGTCCTGGGCAAAATCTCCAAGCGCCTTGTTCTTCTGCTGTTGACTCAAGGCGCCTGTATAGTACAGGAAGCTAATGCCAGCACCCTCGAGCATCCGCCCAAGCACTTTGCCCGTCATGATGAACTGAACAAAGACTGTATTTCAGGTCCATGTCAGCGACAACTTATGATAATCCGTCTTGCCAAGCAACGTACCGATAATCTTGTCGTCCGGGCATTCCCCCTGCCAAGTGCAAATCACGGCCATCGTGGCTGTAAGCTTCGCACTTGGGGGGAGAGGGCACTCAGGAAGGATGGCACTCGCGTGGAAAAGACCATTATCTTTTGCGTCTCGCGGAACCGAAACACCGTTGCTATCTCTGCCCGGTTCTCGACATGCCTTGTCTTTGCCACGTACAGACTGGAAGCCAATGCAGCCGATGGTCTCAAGAGGCGTTCTCTCACGCACGCGCTGACCGCAGCCAGTCTGGCTACACTGCATTTCTTGCTGAGCCTGCCGTCAGTGTTTAACACAAGAAACCAACTCCATGACGAGAACTGGCTCCGCTTACATTCGAAACCACTCTCGTTGGCCCTCCTAGAAAGAAGGACGCTGTGATCTCCGCAAAGCAACGCTTGCAGTAGTAATGGCCACACTGGCAAACCCATTAGCAAAGCCCTCGTTCCGCTCAATATTAGCCCCTCTTAGAGTCAGGACGTACCGGGTCGAACCGAACGGGCTGTTCTGGTGGAGTGGCCTCGCAATGGCTGCAAGTCAAGCCCTTCACCTTCTGCTCGTTCAGAACCCTGTCAAGTAGCGCGCCCCATTCAAATTCCCCGCCGAAGACGGGCTCTTGAAGCTCTCGAAGACGAGCGACTCCTGTCTCGAACCCTTCGAGGCACTTCTTGCCGTCATCGCTGGACATGATCTGATCCAAGACGGGCTTTTTTGGGCTGTTTTCACCCGATCCCGCCTTCAGTCGCCGAACGGTCTCGATGTCCATGGAGCCACGAAGCAGCTTCTCGAGGTTAAAAACATGCGATGCCGCCTCGCGGAGCTTGGTGAGCATTGTGAGTTTCAATCTTGTGACCGCCCTGTCGATCGCTTCTGCATTCTTGACGAGTTTCAAGGCTTTCTCGAGCTTTCGAGTCTTTTCTTCGTACTCGCGTTCGATTGTTCTGCAAGAAGACAGCTGTCAGTACATTGTGCAATCAAGTGTGGTGCATGCTCTCAAGAGACGGGCGCCGACTGACTCTTGGATGAACTCCTCCTCGCGCGAGAGAGGCACCCAGATATCCCGTGACTTTGACTTCGGCAGGTCGATCATCCGGTAGCCCAGGAATGTGTCGTTCATAGTCCTGCACGAGACGTGAGCTGCAAAGAACGTCATTCATCATTCTCTGTGGGCCGCACTTACCGACGATACATGATCATGGAAACAAGCGTCTCGAACCCATCGTTTGCTTTGCCCTAAGTCGGAGCTGTTAGCTGCTGATACTAGCCAGTAAAAGCTAAGTCTCTATAACTTACATTCGTCATATACTTTCGCTTAAAGGTGGCTGGACAGTCGGTGTAGTGGCAACGTATGAACTTGAGGTACGGGTAGAACTCTGATCCATGTCAGTCAGCCAATTCTCAACCATTGAAGGCGGTTGCGCCCAGTCTCAGAGTCTTTACCTTCCGCTGAGTTGGCCAGTGGCGTACCGCTCAATGCCCAATGATGTTTGCTCTGGAGCGCGCAACAAACCTTGGTTGCTGTTCAGGAAAAGAGCATATGGTCAGTTGATGGACGTTCCCAGGGGTCTGCAAAAAGCCCGACTTACTTCGACTCGCAATGTTCTTGATCGCGTGGGCTTCGTCCAGAATCACCCTGTGCCACTTTTGCTTGAAGAGAAAGCCCGTTTTTTGGGCCAAAGCCCTTCCGAGGGATGATTCGTTACCTTCATACTTCTCTTTCAGCTCGCTGATGACCTTGTCGCTTGGATACTGCCTGATCAGCTCCCCATAGGTCGTGATGCTGTCAAGTGGTTAGAATGGTTTCCCCCTATGTTCTGCACGAAGTAGCAGGTGCAGGTTGCTCTCACAGAAGTCTCATTCTCCTCAGGTGGCCCAACGGCTTGGGGTCCTTCGAGTTATACACGGAAACATAGCTGCCCAAGGGCTCTCTGCAGTGTCTCTCCGTCTCCTCCAGCCAGTACAGGGCGGTGGACTGATTGGGCACCACCACCAGCGTCGTCCGTGAAAACATCGTCACGTCGTCTCCTTCGGGAGGATTCGCTGCCACACAGGTCAGGGCCATCAGGGTCTTGCCCATGCCCATTGCATCAGCTAGCACACCGCCGTTTGGCTCGAGCCTGTCTAGTTCTCGCTTGATCATCCACGCTGCCGCGGTGATCTGGTAGTCCCAGAGAGCCGTCTTCATTTTCTTGTAAAGCCATTTTCCGTCGACGGCTTTGACCTTTTGGTATCCGAAGAGCTTTGAGGCTTCCTCGAGATCCTTTTTTTGCGTGCTTTTGCGTCGATTGTCCGTTTGATGCGGAATGCTTTGCTTGATCATGGCCCATTGATCCCGAAAGTTGTTTGCCTTGAACGAAGGCATCACGGGTGCGACGGCCCTGTTCAAGTCTCCATGCTCTTCTGCTGCTTCCTTGCGCAATCGCTCAAGATTTCCGAGTGTCTGCTCCCTATGGCTCGTCCTCACTCTCTTCACGGCCACCCACGCGTTCGAGCTCCCCGGTCGTTTCTTATTCTGCTCCCTTGCCCGGCGCTCGTCACCGGCTTCCTGGAGTCGAGCAACAAACTCCCTTGCATTCAGGGCCACAGGTTTGCGAGGCTTTTTGTTTGGTGAAACTTGCGTCTCCTGCGCTGCGGCTTTCTTCGGTCGCCCATGTTCGTCCTCGTCAGAGCATTCGTATTCAGAGTCTTCAATGTCCGAGTCCGATTTTTCAGAATCACTCTCGCTCTCGCTTGGCGCACATGCAGGGTTAATTGCGCCCTTTGCCTCGCGCCGGTGGCCGGACAAGGGCGCCGCGGCTTCGGCTTGGCCTTCTTGACCTTGTCGCGGCATTTGGTCCGTCGAGGAGGAACCATCGTTGAGCGAAGTGCTTGGCGCAAAGCGTGCAGCAGCGCAGCTGACCAAAGTTTTTCGATTCTCCCTCCTGAGTGACGCCGAATGTTTCTCATGGGGTTGTTCTTTTTGGGAATTGATGCGTTCTTGCCCTGGCTGCTCAAGCTTCAAGTTCAATTTGTGAACAGCATCCCAAGCCTCTGACTCCTCCTTTATGAAGGCCATGATTCTATTTTCATTGAGCAGGTTCCCTTGATCGACTCGACGCTCGTTTGCAGGCTGAGCGGATGCGACATTCGTGCCTGGGGACGATCGATCGACCATGCTGGAAATGAAGCAAAAACGAATTCTCTCGAATCCAAAGAGAGTGCCGGTCGCCTGAGGTATCGGTGGTGGAAAACGCGTCGTCTCAATTCCTGCGTTTTCAAAGGTCAGATCCAAGCGTTAGCAAGAAAAGTAATGATTCGAGTTAAGACGGTTGCTTTATTGACTTTGATCAATGATGCAAGTATAAGGTGGGTTCGCGGTAAATGATCAAAGAATGGTCAAAAGGGGCAGAACTTTCTTACCTTGCACGTGTCTGGGAATTGCTTTCAACAACCGTTCCTGTCAGAGTGATTGGAGGAAATAGAGTGAGGATTTCTGTGTCGTTTTCCGGATTGGTGCGACCGGTGCGAAGTGTCGACGACAAAGCAGGAACCGCGGCGAAACGTGAGAGAATGGCAACCCGCGTGTAGGGCTTTTAAACAAGCCCAAGCAGTGCTTGGTGTAGTAGGTGAGGAGAAGTGAGAAAGAAAGCTGAGAATCGTCATGCGAGAGGGTGAGGAAGGGAGATTCTGGATATGAGTGTCGAGGAAGCAACACGTAGGTAGAGATGGAGATTCATGTGCAGTGAGAGTGAGCGCGGGACTGCACGTTTTGCGCGTGCGAGAGGAAAAGGGGAGAACTAGGAGGAAGAGATGAGGTAGTTTGAAGTGAAAGAGAAGATAGAGTGTGAAGAGAGAGGCAGAAGAGGGAAAAGGAAGAGTGAGGGAGAGAGGGGTGGTAGAGGAGAGACGGGGACAAGGAAAGAAGAGAAAAAGGCGCGAAAGAGCTAAGTGATGGACAAGCGCAAGAGAGGCGTGGAAGTGTTAAAAAGAGAGTGCGTGCGTGTGTATGAGAGAAGAGAAGAGTTCCTGTGTTGCCACGTGTGTAGCAGAAAGAGAGCCTTCGAGAGTTGGGGCGGGAAGAGATGCCCCGAAAGTGAGGAGGAAAAGCCCAAGGACTCGGCAGAACAGCCCGCCTTCTCTGGTGCGTTCTCTCCGTACCCCTTTGAACGCGTGCCGTGGCTTGGAAACTCGGTGGTGCACGCCCGTGGCCGCAAGTCCAAATGCATTCGGCCTTTGCAGCGCCTGGAGCAACCCCTCTTCGCTGTTCACGTTCGGAGCCTCAGAAGAACCATCGGGTTAACCAAAGAGGTGGTCGCACCTCCAGTTTGCCCCAGCGACAACCGTGTGCATCTCGGAGGTTGTGAGATCACCGGCTGTTAACAATGTTGCCGCGCAACTGCGCTTCACGCCGTCGAGCAGTCCCATTATCATTCGCCTTATCGCCCATATTTTTCTCTACTTTCTGAACCTTCTTTTCCTTGATACGTGCTGCCAAGTGGCAAGGATCGAGGATTATGCAGCTTGGACATTTCTCGTGCCGACTTTGACGATTCGCGCGCTCGGATTGGCAGCCTTGGACCTATGTCAAGTTGCTAGTGATTTTACGAGGTGTCCGAGTGTAAGCCGACTGTTTGATGGCAAGCACTCAATGGTAGTCTACGTGTACTAAGTGGGCATCAGTGCTGTCTCTACTTTGTACAGCTGGACTTCCCTTCATGTTCAGTCTGGCATCGTTGATGACGGAGCAACGATTCGGCATCGTCTCCGAGTCAGGTCTTCCAGTCGCGTAACGACTGGTTATTCGTTAGCTGCTCGCTCTTCGTCTTTTCTTGACAATCAGCCCAGTCACGTCAATAGCAACAAGTGGTCGCTCCTTGTTTGGGGATTGACAATCTGCTCATCAACACGCATAACCGTCACCAGTCTTCAAGTCATTAGACAAGACAAGCTCTAGACACACACACATGCTACGTATGTAGTGCTACGGCCATCACACGCTCGCACACTGCAGAACATTCTTTGAGTTCTGGGAACGAGCAATAGTTCAGGGTAGGTGAGGCAACGTCGAGAGCAGTGGACAGAAACACAAGGGCCCTTGCCTGATGCCGCAGAGAAGGCAATCAAGAGCCCACGAGTTACGGCCGACCCTTTGGATGCAATGGTGAAACAGCCGTCTGCCGAGACGCAACGGGCAACGGTGCAGAGAGGCAACCACACAGACTGCGTGGGGGCTTAATACAGTGAAAAAGAAACATCACAAGCGTCGAAGCTGCAAAACCACAAGAAAAAAAGGAAGTGTGAGGGGAAAGAAGGGGGCCACCGCATCCCCCTGTTGGACAGCCATCGAGTAGACGCCGCTAGCGCGAGCAGGCCGTTCATGTTGGCCGGCGTCGAGCATCTCAGAGTCCCTGCAGCTAGTACTCCGCCGTCTATTGTTATGTTTGTTTCAATGCTGCTGCCATGCTGCCAAGGATGGAGGTGAGAGAGAGAGGGCACGGGGATGGCCTTGGTCGAGCGCATAGACAACTGCACCAACAGCAGCGGAGCAAGCTCATGAGGCCTACACTCTTCATCTCACCTGCCCTTCGATGTGCTCACACGGAGAGAAGGAAAAAGTAAAGGTGAGAAAGGCAAAAGAAGCATAACGGGAGCCACGCCTCGGGCCGCCAACCCAAACGCCACGCCACCCGGCGGCGTTCTTCAATGTCTTTCATCCTTCTCTTCCACCGCACAAACATGTCTGCTTCTGTTACCGCCTTTTACACCGTTTGTGCGCTATTCCCACGGCGTCCGCTCAATGACCCCTTTTCCCTGGTTTCCTCCACCCCTTGGTTGTTCATTCACTCAACTCCCCATCCCCATAATTTGGTTTTTTAATTCTCTTAATTAAATATGGACATTTTCCGTCTAATCCCTACGTTGCTCGTGTTGGTTGACAAGCACACGCCCCCCGCTCGCCATGATTGTGTCATCCGCGGGCGTGCCAACGGGGCCATGGACCGCCTCTCATTTTCGCCGCTGCGGGAGCAAATGTCGCGTGGGAAGCGGCCATGGCCAGCAATGGGCACTTTGGATCGTCTTGTGCACGGGCCTTTGCTCTGGGCATGAGTGCGTTTTGCGGGCCTGACGTGTTGATCGTGGCAAGGCGGCGACATGAAAAGAACGAGAGAGAGGCGCGGCTTTTATGTGTCGTCGAAGCTACTACAGCCAGACTTTCCGGTCCCCTGAAGCCGCACTTCAGTCCAGGCACACACACATACGTGTCCAGGGGGTGTGGTGGGAGAAAGACGAGTACAGGGTCTCTTAATCCAGGAGAATCCAACCAACACCAAATCATCTCCCCCTTCCCCTCCCCCCCGGCCTCTCCCTCTCTGTCCACCGCCGCACACCGAGGAGGAGAACGGGGTGGCTTGGACAGGAAAGCACCAACAAGAAGAAGAACCGGCGCGGGAAAAAAGATGCCTGGGCGGTCAGGCCTTGAATCTTGGACGCCGGGACCACGGTCTTCGCCCTTCCGCCTCGGGGAATCCCATCTCGCAGCCGCCTGCCAGCCGAGCCAACCGGCTGTCGTCGCGACTGTTGCCCCCACGCCCCGCCCCTTTGCCATGACGAGCCTGGTTATTGCCTGCCTACCTGAACGTCGCCCGAGAGTCTGGATCTGGCGCGAGCGCGTTGTAAAGAGCGATGCCGAGTCTAAAAGATAAAGACTGGGTGCCCCCCTTGTTGGGGGGTGGGCGGGTAGAAGAGGAGAGCAAGAAGATAACGAAAGAGGGAGACGATGAAGAGAGGGCGTGTGGGGGGAAGACGGGCAAAAAAAGACGACATCGCGCGCGCCAGAGACGCTGATATCGAAACCTCCCATGGCCATACTCATGACGCCTGCTGCTCTCACTAATCCACCATAGCGGAGAGAGCGCGCGCTTCTCTTCCCTCCTATCATCCCCCCTTTCTCTTTCTCTCCCTCCCAACCCGCTCTCGGGGAGAAGCTATCTGTCCCACCTTTCTCCCTTCTCCTCTTCCGCCTCTGTCTGGTCCGCCTCGCCTCCCGGTCAGGACGGGGAGCGTCGATCCCACCATGCCCTTGGGGCACGACGGCGACGTCCTGGGCCTATCCTCGTCGTCGTCGGCTTCCACGCCATGGCTCCATGCCAGGGCTTCGTCGGCCGAGGCCAATGGCGAGCATGGCTTCACCGACAACCAGCTGTTGGCGCTGAGGCTGACGTCTATCGTCATGGGCTCCGTCAGCCTCATGTCCACCATGTTTGCCACCTTTTGGTTTGTCCGCATGAGCAGAAGCTTCCGTCATGAGCAAGTCCGCCCTCTTTCTCTCCCTCGTTCAACACTCTCTTCAGCCCGGCCATACTAACCTTGAGACCACCACCGCCTCCCCCCTCCCCTTATAGCCTCATCATCCTCCTCATCCAGAGCGACACGCTCAAGTCCATCGTCTTCATCATCCTCCCCGCCATCGAGCTGGTCCGCGGCCCCGTCATCTCCGAGGCCGCCACGTGCCAGGCCAGCGGCTTCTTCCTCGTCGTCGGCTTCGAGGCCTGCGACGTGGCCGTCGTCCTCGTCGCCCTGCACACGGCCCTGTACATCTTCCGCGGCCGCGGCGGCCTCTACCCCTACCGCCACGTCGCCTATGCCTTCTTCCTCCTCGTGCCCCTGCTGCTCGGCTCGCTCGCTTTCCTCAACAAGCCCGCCTTTACAAACTCGGGCCGCTACTGTCACCTGCCGTCGAAGCCGCGGTGGGCCAGCCTCGCCCTCAGCTGGATCCCGCGATACTTTATCCTCATCACCATCTGCGTCATCCACGTGTCCACTTATGTCTATGTCCAGGTCCTCATGAACCGCTTCGGCGCCGCTTGTCAGGGGGACAGACTGCCGGCCCCGCAGCCGCCGGCGTCCGACGGCGGCGTCGTCGACTCGGCTCCGCCCACGCCCCCCATCGCCTGCCACGGCCTCCTGTCCCCGACTCCGCCGCCATGCGAGCGCCCCGGCCCGGCCGAGGCGGAGAGAGGCGAGGGATTCCCCGCCGCATCCATGGCGGCCGATGGACACACAATGGCCCACCGCGGCGGCTCCCACGACCAGGAGGACCAGAAGGCGCTCGTTGCGGGGCCACTCGACAACGCCGCCTGGCAGACGGTCCAGCCCGGCGCCGACTCTTTGTTCCCTCTCTACCAGCAGAAGAGAGGCGCCCTGTCCAACCTGGAGCTAGCGACCCCGGCGAGGCGCGAGACGGCCGCGGAGCCGGCTCCGCTCAGCGCGCGACCAACCCCCTTTGACCCCCCGGGGGAGTCAATGCCCGGCAAGTCGGGGTGGCCCTGGACACACCCGGCGTGCAGGACGGCGCCTCGCAGCTCGTGGAGCCGCCCCCTGCTAGCGACGGCGCCGGCCAAGATGCCAGGGCCGCCGACGGAAACGCCGTCGCCGACGCCGCCGTCGCGCCTCCATACCATGCTGCGCCGCGGCGCCTGCAGCCCACACTCGTCGGCGAGGAGGGTCGGGGAGCGGCCGGCAGCCCTCGGCGCGGCGCCCGGCATGGCCAAGATGCGTGACAAGATCCGCCGCCAGCTGCGCCAGCTCTTCATCTACCCGGCCGTCTACATCGTCGTGTGGCTGATCCCCTTTGTGTCGCATGTCGCCGGCAGCGCGTCATGGGACCGGCCGTCGTTTGGCCTCGCCGTGACCAGTCTCGCCAGCCTGTGCCTCCAGGGCATCGCCGACGCCCTCGTCTTCTCCATCCTCGAAAAGCCCTGGCGCCACCCGCGCCACGTCACCAGCAGCAACGGCGCCCCTTCCTGGTGGTGGAGCGGAAGCGGCGGTGGCGGACGACGACGCCAAGGACGGGGCGCCGGGAGCAGCGGGAGCAGCAGCTGCATGCCCTGCTGGCCCGTGCTCTCGACTGTTGACGGCCAGCCGTCGGGCGGCGCGGGGCGCACCAGGGACGAGATGCTCGTCGACAGTCGTGCGGCTAGGCTCCGCCGCGATGAAGAGCTCGCCGAGCGTCGGATGCTGCGTCGAGCCCAGCCGCGCGAGTGGTGGGACGTGCGCCTCGGGAGCCTTGACGGGTGGGACGACGACGACCTCGGGCGTGGCGCAAAGGGTTCGCGAGCGGCTATGGTCACGGATCAGAAAAGCGTCAGCGGAGAGCCTCGAGCGCGCGACATTGAGGAGAGGAATGGGAGGGCCGTGGGCGTTGTAATGTGATATCCAAGGGGCTAGAGCAGCGTCAATTTCTGGCCCTGTGGGTAGACTTGAACTATATTCATGTACGTATTCCATCATATAATACCCCACGAGAAGACAGGGCGGACAAGGCACAAGAATGGGAAGGGGAAGGGGCCGAAGAAAAAAAGTTGATATCCCAAAAATAAGCCCGAAAGAAGATATGTGGGAGAAAAGCAGCATCTAGAGATCCAAGCCCTGTGGAGGCGTCTCTTCTAATCCGACTCCGGGTTCGCCAAACCCTCGTCCTCATCCGGTGCAGCCGAGCCAGCTCGCCGCCGTCTATCCATGGCCGAGTGTCAGGGTGAGCATGTACCCCATCATATCGCTTAAAGGTATCGCCGTCATCCCTGCTTCATGAAATTCAAAAACGCCTTGCCGATGGCGACGCCATCGTGGGGAGCGGGGGCGCGCCTGGTGCCGTCGGTATAGACCTCGTCGGTGAAGATACCGACGGTGTGGCGGTTGAAGAGAATCTCGGAGATGATTTCGTTTGTGAACTCGGGGTGGCCCTGGACGGTGAGGTACCTGCCGGGGGAGTACATGCCCTGGACCGAGCAGAAGGAGTTGGAGCCGATGGGGATGGCGTCGGCGGGGAGATGGGCGACGATGTCGCGGTGCATCTGCTGGATTCGCTGCGGGGGGGTGTCAGGTCAGCACTCGAGGCGGCAAGGACGACGGGGGTCGAGAGACTGGCTCACCATCTTGTCGAGTTGGAAAATCTCCTTGCCCTTGTCCGTCAGGTCGACGTCGGTGACGGCCACCTCCCAGCCATTGGAGCTCTGCTTGAGCGGGGCACCGAGGGCGCGACCGACAATCTGGTGGCCGAAGCAGATGCCGACAACGCGGACGCGGCCGCTGTCGAGGACCTTTTGTGTGAAGCGGACGAGGTTCTTGATCCAGGGGTCGTCGTCATAGGCGGTGTGGCGCGAGCCGGTGATGAGGACGGCGTCGATGTCGTCGAGGGCAGGGTATGTGTGCAGCTCGTTGACGACGTCGTAGCCGCTGATGGAGAGGAGGGAGTCGAGGTCCTGCGGAGGGACGAGCTGCTTGCCGGCGGCGGCGAAGAGGGCGGAGAAGACGCCCGTGTAGCTGTTGTAGATGGCGCGCGTCTGGGGCTGGGGGGTGTCGCACTCGAGGACGGCGAGGCGGAGGGGCATTTCGACGGTGCTGCTGCGGCCTTGGGACCGGACGCTGTCGCTGCTCGGAGGGAGCGGGATGGAAGCGGCGGGATCGGGAGGGGTGGCTGGATTTGCGAGAGGGGAGAGAGAGTCGCGATCGAGGCAGCGACGAAAGCTATGGCGGACGCGAAGATGGGGGGGAGTAGGGACGGCGAAAGGCGGAGGGAGAGGGGGGAGAGAAGAAGCTGCAGTGGTGAGCGAGAAAGGGGAATCGCAGTTGTGTCGGCAAGGAGAGTTTGCAAGCTCAAGCTCTATCTGGAGTTTAAACGGTGGTTGGCCGAGAGGGACGAGGGACGAGGGACGAAACAAAGAGAGGCTCGGAGCGAGGAGAGGAGGACGGATGGGGATATTTTTAACCGGCGCGGCTCCGTATTCGGTGCCTGATAGAACGGATGGTCGGTATGGGAGCCCGATTCAAGGGTGGGGAGGGGGGCGTGGAAGCTTCCATGTGGCTTCGCGGTGCGACTCGTAGGCGATTGGATGAGACGAGGGTGGTTCTCGACGACAAGGTTCACCGTCATGCAAGGTACGCCCGGCAGGTGGGCTGGTCACGTGAACAACCGCTAACAGGCATGGGTACTGGCAGCGGCCACGGGGCAGTGCAGGGACCTGGGCGGCGATAGTGCGGCGACCTCGTCTCGGCAATGTGGTGCTGTACAGTACAGGCTTGAGAAGAGCCCGACGATGGCTACATGCCTACCTAACCTACCTACCTAGGTACCTAGGTAAGTAGGTACCCATGTATCGTATATAGAAACGGACAGTACACAGGTATGCTTCTACTTTATCCAAGTAGCTCGACTGGTAGCCATGCCATCCTGCGGTCGACATCCAATGACCTGGGCCTGGCTGCATGGCCGCATACCACTGCAACATCTATTCGATAGTACGTAACCTACCGACTCCATGACCGAAACGAAAACAGGCGCTATATTTCACCCGATAAGACGCGTAGCCCTACCTACATGCTCCATTCGCGGAGTGCTCCCAATGGAGAATAGCCCGTTCCAGACGCTGCTCAACAGGCAGGCAATTATTCATGTGATTATTCATGGCGGCACAATTCTTCAGCTGAACACGATGCACCGGTAGGTTCATGCATAGGCTCGAGCAGACTTGGAGGAGGAGCCAAGGAGGTGCCCCATGAAACAGGGCAACCCGTCCAGTATCCAACGCTTGTATGTCACCGAGCAACATGATGATTCCGCACGGGAAACAGGCGCAGGCCCCGGATATCGATTGACATGGCTGTGCCCCGGTGCGGCATATTATCCCATGAACAAGATTTCCCAGCCGAACTGCCATCCACAGCCTATTAATAGCGTTGATAGCGCCAAGCAACGTCTATATCTTATTCCCTGGGGCCTGGGTATAGCGGCGAGGCCTATTTTGAGTCCAGACGCTGGGTGTGGCCTGAGGGCGAGGCAGACAAGAGAGATGGCTGTCGACTTGATTGGCTCCCCCGTATCAACATTCCGACCGTCTTCCCTGGGCTCGAGCACGTGTATGTCCGTCCAACTAGCGAGGTTGCGGATGACTGAGTGAACGATGGAGTATAGGGTAGGCTGGCCCGCGGTCGGACCGGGCGCCGACCCTGCCAAGGCCGCATTTCCTCCGGGCCTGTCGAGCCTTCGCTCCGTTGCTTGATTCAAGCATCGACCATGTCTGCCCCCCCGCGCGTCTCGCTCCAGAGCTTCCTCGCCAGTGCCAGATCCGCACTGCGCGCCCCCGCGAGCCAGCGGCCCTCGCCCTTGACTTTTGTCGTCGGCAACGAATCCGCCGGTGAGCAGTTGGTCCCCGTCCTGCTCCAGCATTGTGCAGCCTGGCAACGAGCCGGGAGGCTATGAACTGGACTGATGCGCATGTCCAAACGCCGCCGGACCGTCGTCCAGATCTCGACTCTGTCTGCTGCGCCATCGTCTACGCCTATCTCCGCTCCCACTCCCCTCCCCGCAGCAGCAGCAGCAACAACGCCCTGCATGTGCCCCTGGCAAACCTGCCCCGGGCCGACCTCGGTCTTCGTCCCGAGTTGACAGCCGCCCTCGGCCACGCCGGCCTGCAACCCGCCGACCTCATCACCCTCTCCGACCTGCCAGCCGACCACGACGACGACCCGCTGCGGCCCGCCGACACGCGCTGGGTGCTTGTCGACCACAATGCCCTGACGGGTCCGCTCGCCCGCTTCGCCCCGCACGTGGTGGGCTGTGTCGACCATCACGCCGACGAGGGCAGTGTGCCTCGGGATGCGGCCCCGAGGGTCATCGAGCCCTGCGGCAGCTGCTTGAGCCTGATCGTCGACGAGACCCGCCAGGCATGGGACGCCCTGACAAGCCAAGACGACGACGACGCTGCTGCCTGGGGAGATGACGGCCTGGCCAAGCTCGGCCTGGCGCCCATCCTCATCGACACGGCCAACCTCGGCGCCGCGGACAAGGTCAAAGACAAGGACAGGCGCGCCGTCGGCTACCTCGAGGGCAAGCTGCTGGCCCGCCCGCCGTACTCGCGCCAAGCCTTCTTCGACGAGCTCTCGGCCGTCAAGGAGGACATTTCCAAGCTCTCCTTCCGCGACATCCTGCGCAAGGACTACAAGCAGTGGCCCGAGTCGGGCCTCGTCCTCGGCGTCAGCTCCATCGTCCGGGGCCTCGCCTACCTCGTCGACGACAAGGCCGCCGGCAAGCCCCAGGCCCTGCTCGACGCCCTCGCCGCCTGGGCCGACGAGCGCCGCCTCGACATCGCCGCCCTCATGACCATCTCGCACCCGCACGGCCACCTCCAGCGCCACCTGCTCGTCTGGGGCCGCTCCCCGCGCGGCAAGGCGGCAGTCGTCTGCTTCGCCGACGCCCAGCGCCGGCCTCTCGGTCTGCACACCTGGCGCGACGGCGAGCTCGACTGCCACGAGGGCGAGACGCTGAGGCTTGCGTGGTGCCAGGACGAGCTGGCCGCGAGCCGGAAGCGGGTCGCGCCGCTACTCCGCGAAGCTATGAAAACCGCGTGAGTTATCTGGCGCCTCTCTGTTCTCTCTCCTCTCAGGAGAGATTGGGAAACTCTTCCTCCCAGCAGATAAAAAAAGCACAATAACCGTCGGCTCTGACTAGGGCACTCAGAGGTGGAGCAAAGGGCGCAGGAGCCGAGAAAACGCACCGACTATGACTGGAAGACTAAAAAAAACCGTCTCCTTTTTGGGCTCCTTCGGTGTTTTCCCTAATAGGCATCATAAATGGATGTCATACAGTACATACATGCCATGAACACGTACACAGAGTACGTATGCCCTACAGACCAGGATGCATGGTTGCGTGCTCCAACGGTACTTTATTGAGAGCCTCCAGCTCAGCCGCTGCGTCGTCCCGACAACAAGGCCAAGCGTATGCTGGCATCGGCGTCCGTCTCAAACGGTTGCTCCCGCGGCTGCTCCCGCGGCGGCGTCATTGTTCGGACCCGACTTCTCTGGCCCGCCTCCCAGGCCGCGCGGTGGCCTTCGGCGTCCTTGAGTACCCGCACAAACTCATTGCGCTCAATTCCCCGCCTCTCGACCACCGACAAGCTGTCCGGCAACGGCGGGTTGTAAATCATCTCTTCGGCGCTCGGGTCCGCAACCAAGACGCAGGCCCTGAGCGACTTGAATAGCGCCCCGACAGGCAGCACGGGCGGCTCTTCTCGCAGCATGTCCATGTACATCCGGCTCACGGCCTCTCTGCACATCCTAGCATCCCGCGTCTCGGCCAGCAGGCGAAAGGCGAGCTCGTAGACGTCGGCGGATCGGGGCGCCAGGAACCTAGCGGGTGAGCGAAACGTGTTCCAGAAACGGTCCCAGTGGCCGCGCCGCGCGTATGCGCTCATGAGCCGCAGCACCTGGCTCTCCTGCATGGAAGACCGCTTCTCTGCGAGGAGCAGCTCCAAGTTCCTTTGCGCCCGCGCCATGTCCGCGTCGTAGGCTGGCGAAGACACCGCCGATTCGATTAGGTCGATGAGCAAGTCCTCGCTCTCAATCGCCAGCCCTCGTTCTTGCCCGGTCAAAAGCAACTCATCCACGAGGGCCAAACGTTCCGATGCGGTTGCTGGAGACTTGACCCGCAACGCAAAGGCGATGAAGGCCTGGAAGCTTTGCTGGCTCAATGGCAAGGCTCTCGCGTGCAGCACGTCAATCTCTCGACGGAGCTTGACGAAACCATCCTGGGTAGTGTCTGTTTCCATCGCCGGTGCTTCCGCCCGACCTTGCTGTACGCCCGCGGCGTCCGTGTGAGCCTCTGCCTGGGCCTGGAGACGTCGTGCCAGTGTGGAAAAGTATCTCTGCTGCTGTGAGGCCTGCCGCAGTGCCTGCCACTGGGAAGTCGGCGAGCCGGGAGCCAGCTGAATCTTGGATGATACGAGCGCCTCGAGCTCTTCCTTGTCACCCGTCGCCTCGCCCTTGACCTTTCTGCTACGCTCGAGGCATCTTCTCAGCACGCCTCGCCACAGTATCTCCAGGTCAAGTTCGCCTCGCCTCGACTCCGTCATGCACTGCACTACAATGGTCGTGCCGGTCTGTGTCGCGCCAAAGCCGGAATACCTCCCGCCTGCGTCGAAGCTGGCCATCTCGCCGAGGTCGCCCTCGCCCGTGGAGAAATTGACGCAGACCCAGCCTGTCGAGAGCCCATTGTCGCCTCCCGGAACAATCATGGTGTTGGTACCCATGAGCTTGGCCCGTTTTCGCAGGCGGCGCAGCTTCGTCTTGAGCTCGCCTGGCCCAATCAGTCCGTCTGCTTTGGCGTTGACTTTGTAGTTTCGCCGCAGCCATCGAACAAATCGGCCAGACGATATGTGCAGGTGGCGCTCGCTCCGGGCTGTTCCAAACAGCATGATCAGGTTCCGGCCAAGGGCTGCTGGAGGGTCTAGTTCGCGCAGATCCAGGAGCGCGAGGTCGTCAAGCCCCATATCTTCGTAGACGTATTTGATCATCGGCTCGAGCAGCGAAGGCGCATCGCGGGGGGGGTTTGGAAGAGTTGGGACATGCTGGCTCGGTGGGTGGCGAGGAGGCTCTACCTCGAGGAACCAGTGCTTCTCGGCGCCATCTTGGTCTGGTTTCTCGGCCTCGTCTTGAAGAGCTGTACTAGGTGATGAGTCGTCCTCGCTGCCGGGGCTGGACAAGAGCCGTCGGGGCGATGTCGAAAAGTTTCGTGCAAGCTGCGGTGGCCGTTGGGTACCCAAGCTGCGGACGCTTGGTGCTGTCGAGCCGAGCACAGCTCTCAAGACGGCGCTGCGGCAGCCGCAGCACGCCAGAGCCGCGACGGCCGGCCGCAAAGACATGTTGCTGGCGGGCTTTGGAGGCGGCGGGTTGCTGTGAAGGCGCTGTGAAGCCGCAGCTGTGAGGGTTGAGTCGAGCTGAAGGGTCTTTTCGATTCTTTTCCGGGGTACAAAGTACTTCATCAGTGGGTCTGGAGCAGCTTGTAACTTGTACGCACGTACGGAGCACAGTAGGTACATGCCTGACGCAGGGTCCACGTGACAGCCTTGGCCAATCCAGGAGAGCGCGAGAGCTCTGAAGAAAAAAATTTGGTGAGCTCAGACCCGTCTCATGGAATAAGTGCTGTCTCGACATTTGCCATCCGCCTTTTCTTTCCGACTGCCAGCGTTTTTATCTCCGTTTCTCTTTCGCTTATCGGCGCTTCTCCTTCGGTCATTCATTCAAAAGAAACCCAGATGTGTTGATTGTGTCTCCTGCACGCCCCAGCAGCGGTTCGCCTCGTCCAGTCCGATCCTGGACAGCGCGCCATGATTCTCTCGCGACACACTCGCAGCGGACTGCTTGCACATCGAGGGGCTGCCGCGAGGTCGACCTGGGTTTCGTCGAGACATGCGGCGCTTTCCTCCACGGTCCCCTCGACCGCGCGGCGCCACGCCGTGACGGGCCTGTTTCGCCCCTGGCGGCGGCATGGACCTGAGTCTGGAAATGGTCGCTCGCTGCAGGAGAGAAGCCTGGCGACGGCTGTCGACGACTTCAAGCTCGAGACTCTGCCATACAACAACCTGACCAGCTCAACGCTGCCTCCGTTCCAACCTCCGAGATCCTACGACCTCAGAGCCTTCGACCCGACCTCGCCGTTGACCATCCCCGAGCCCGGCCCGCCGCGACCCCCGACCAAGACAAACGTATTCGGCGTTCCGGGGGAGACCGAAGACATGCTTCCCGTGTTTGACGCGTGCCTGCGCGTGGGAAAGCTGGACCGCGCAGCTCTTGTGCTTAAGCGCCTGAACGCTGTCGGGACTTTGTCCATCGAAGAGCAGACCCTGCTCAACAACCAGTACCTTCGTGCATCCTTGAAGCAATTGAGCTCAAGCCCCGACCGGCAACGCGCCGAGGGGCTTCACCAGTGGTACGAACTCCAGATACGGAGCAAGGGACTACCCCATACCGCCGAGACCATCGCCTGCATGCTCAAGGCCTCTCTGCTCTCCGAGCGAGGCTCAAGGCTTCACCGCTTGGTCAAGCGCTACATGGGCATGGCCCCTAACGAGGCCGGTCTCCTGGTGCTCAACATGGCCGACATCCTTAGTGATAGGGACCTAGCCGTCATTACCGACATTTGCCCCACGTACAACTTTTCCCAGGAGCCAGAGCTTGAAGGTCCTGCCATTGAGGCGCGAAAGGAGTGCGAACCCGTGGGCCGTGACTTGGTCGATCAACCGACAGACCTGCCGGGAGCCGATTCTATTTCCGAACTGGTGCCGACACCACAAAAGGGTCTGAGCCTCGACACCCTCAAGCATAACCTCGAAATCCTCTCGTCCTTGCAAGACACCGACATATCCGAGCTCCCCGAGTCTGAGCGCCGCGAAATCCAACTCTTGCTGGAGCGCGACTCCATCACGTCGGCCATTGCAAAGTGGCGCGCGCAGATGGATACCCTGCATCGTAAAGGCGTCACCACGGCGACGGGATCTCGCGGAGAAGGCTCATTGTCGCAGTACATGGCGTCGTGGATGAGTGCCATGCAAGCCCGTCTACAAGAAGAGCAGTCCCTGATCGAGATGTCGGAGAACAAGGCCAGCAAATCTGAAAAAGATTTGGAGCGCTGTCTTTATGGACCCCTGCTCCGACAAGCTGACCCAGCCCGGCTAGCTGCAGTGACAATTCTGACCACGGTCAACCTCAGTGCCATGCTTGGCATCGAAAAAGGCGTTGTCGTAAGCAGGCTCATCACCAACATTGCCAAGGTCGTACAAGAGGACACAGAGCTTCAACAGAAAGAGGAGGCCAAAAAGGCTCAACGGACGCGCAGAGTCGAATTCACTGGCCATGCAACAGGCTCCGATGCTGAAAATAAGGCGACTGCCTCCACTCCGACAGAGGATTCCACCCCTCGTGAAAGCTCCGCATCGAGTGAAAAAACCGTCTTGATTGCCGAGCCGAGTGGCGCGGAGCACACCTTGAAGGAGTCGACCCAACAGCCCTGGTCAGTGCAAATCAGAGCCCACGTCGGTGCTATCCTCCTGAAAGTCCTACTCGAGACGGCCAAGATCAAGGTGACGATACGCAACGACAACCTGGAAATCGTGTCCCAATATCAGCCAGCTTTCACGCATCTGCAACAGCCTCGGAAGGGGAAAAGGGTTGGCCTCGTCTTTCTCAACCCCCAGTTGTCCAAGAAGTTTCTGCGGGAACCTGTCGGCGACTTCCTTGCCAAGCATCTGCCCATGGTCGTGGAGCCCAAGCCGTGGCAAAACTTCACCGAGGGCGGATTTCTGGACAGCAAGACGAGCCTTGTCCGAGTCAAACCCGGAAATTCGGAGCAGACCTTGTACAACCAAGCCGCCGTCCAGTGCGGCGACATGGACCAGGTCCTCAAGGGGCTGGACGTGCTCGGCAAGACGGCGTGGCAAGTCAACAACGACGTGCTGGGTGTCATGATGGAGGCTTGGAATACGGGCGAGGAAATCGCAAACTTCCCGCCGCTGAGCCCCGAGTTCAAGGTGCCCGCCGAGCCAGACTCGTCGGCGGATCCGCTTGCTCGTAACAACTGGATTCGCGCGGTCAAGGCCGTTGAGAACAAGAGGAGCAGTTTACATTCTCAACGCTGCTTCATGAACCTGCAGCTCGAGGTTGCGCGAGCCTTCAGGAACCACACCATCTACTTTCCGCACAACGTCGACTACCGAGGCCGCGCGTATCCCATGCCTACCTACCTGAATCATATGGGCGCCGATCATGCTCGTGCCATTCTCAAGTTCGCCAAGGGCAAGGAGCTGGGAGTTCGGGGCCTGAGGTGGCTCAAGATTCATCTGGCCAACGTTTATGGACTCGACAAATCGAGCTTCGATGAGCGAGAAGCATTTACCAACGAGAACGTTGCCAACATTGTCGCGTCGGCAACAAATCCGCTCAAGGGCAGCCGTTGGTGGCTGCAGGCCGAGGAGCCCTGGCAGTGCCTCGCTGCCTGCTTCGAGCTCAAGGCGGCTCTTGACCTTGCTGACCCTACCAGATACGTATCCCAGCTTCCCGTCCACCAAGACGGCACATGTAATGGTCTCCAACACTACGCGGCCCTGGGTGGCGATGCTTGGGGTGCCAAGCAAGTCAATCTGGAGCCCGGGGACCGACCGGCCGACGTGTACTCGGCCGTGGCCGATCTCGTGAAGCAGGCAATCGACAAGGACGCCGCAGTGGATATTTCGCTGGGCAAGATCCTCCAGGGCAAGATCACGCGCAAAGTCGTCAAGCAGACCGTCATGACCAATGTCTACGGAGTCACATTTGCCGGAGCCAAGCTGCAGGTCTGCAAGCAGCTCGACGCCCTGTATCCCAACCTGGGCAAGGACAACGGCTTTCACAACAACGTGGGACTGGCAATCTACGTTGCCAAGCACATCTTCTACGCCCTCGCCACCATGTTTCGAGGCGCCCACGACATTCAATACTGGCTGGGCTCAGTCGGAGGCCGGGTTTGCAGAGCACTAACGCCCCTCCAGCTGGAGCAGATTGCCAAATCCCACGCGGCCGCACCTGAGAAAGAGGCTAAGGGAACCCCGAAGCCCAATAAGGAGACGACGAAGAAGGATCCTACCCAGAAGAGCTTGACTAGGAATACTGCCAGCGGGTTTAAGGCCATGGCACCACAATTCCGATCCACGCTCGTGTGGACGACGCCGCTGCGAATGCCCGTTGTACAGCCATACCGGAAAAGCAACGCCAAGGAGATTAGGACGTGCCTCCAGGCCGTGGTGTACTCGATGGAAGATCAGACGGACCCAGTCAACAGCAGGAAGCAGCTGCAGGCATTTCCGCCAAACTTTATCCACTCCCTGGACGCCAGCCATATGATGCTATCGGCTCTGCGATGCCACGAGCGCAATCTTGATTTTGCCGCTGTGCACGACTCGTTCTGGACACATGCCGGCGATGTCGACAGCATGAATGAAGTTTTGCGAGAAGCCTTTATCCAGATTCACGAGGAAGACGTCATTGGCCGCCTGGCCACCGAGTTCAAGGCGCGCCACAAGGGGTCGGTCTATCTCGCACACATTGACCCGGATAGCCGGGTGGCGAGAAAGATCAAGGACATGCGAAAGGCCAAGAATTCGAGGCACACGCCCGTGGAAGAGTTGCTCATGGAGTACGAGCGGCAGTCGCTCATCATGGCGGGCAAACTCGACGAGGCCAAGAAGATTGTGACGCCGGCGTCCGTGTACGAGGACATGTCTGCTTGCGAGGTTGACCTTGCCATCCAAGAAGACACCAAGGCCATTGGCATCGGCGAAATCCACGAGGACGAAGCCGATGCGACGGCCTGCAAAGTTTCCGAGGATATGGTGGACGAGGAGGACGAGGCTGCACTCGGTGCCCAGCCTTCCTCATCTACGGCACCTGCGGAGACGGTGCAGCGGCTCCTGGAGGAGATGAAGGGGAGCCATTTCGAGTCTTCCATGCTGGAGACGAGGAAGCCCACCCAAGCCAAGGCCAAAAAGACCCCACTGCCTCTCTGGTTGCCGCTGACCATTCCGGACATCCCAAAGAAGGTGAGTTTATGACTTGAGCGTGGTCCCATCGCCGTCATCCAAGTGGTAAGGTTACTGACGTACGCACTTCTGCAGGGCGACTTTGAGGTGAAGCGACTGCGGGAAAGCAAATACTTTTTCTCGTGATCCAACACAGCGATATATTCAACACGGGTAACATTTTCTGTACAACAAGGCGCCGAAACGGGAATACAAAAAGAAAGGGGTACGGGGTCGGCGTAGCGAGACTTGCGCGGTGCATATTTCTGACGCAGCGTTCATGCGAGGGGGGAGCAATCTGTTCTTTTTCTTCTGTATGGCAAGGCGTTATCTAGGGTGTGCTTTGCGGCGGCGCATTTGGAGAGGAAGAGTAGGGGCCTGTTTTCACGCGGCTCGAATCTACGGGGGATGGAGCATACTGGGACGAAGCATATGGGGTGAATGCGAGACTTATATACTTGTTGTATATTAGACGACATGAAAGATCAAGAAAATAACGCTCTGCATGGAGCATTACATGCTGGAGCAGACGCTTGTTCTCGACTACATGCAATGACGACGCCTGTTTGCGCTCGCGTATGCACATGCAACTGGGATCGTGGCTGATGCGACGGCTACCGCACGACGGCGCCCTTGAGGGACTGGACGGTACAGACGCCCCCGGATGCAGTGACGAGCTTGCCGAGGCCCGTCGTGGCCAGCTGCTCGACGGCGGCGGCGTCAAAGGCGACCTCGAGGGAGTCGGTGGTGGTGAAGCCGGGCTGGAAGGCCTCCCAAATCTTCTTCTTGGGGTTGAGCTGGCCCTCGGGCTCGCCCTGCCAGCCCTGGAAGAAGACGCGCTCGCCGGCCTTTGCGCCGTCTGGTGGGGAGACGAGCTCGACGGGGCCCTTGTGGTCGTCGACGTCGCCGTCCTTGAGGCGGGGCGAGGCGGCGAGGACCATGGCCGACGATTTGATGCCGCGCATCTTGACGGGCTTGAGGTTGCACACCACCACCACCTTGCGGCCCTGCATCTCGGCGAGGGGCACGAGGCCGTTAAGCCCGGAACAGACGGTGCGGCACACTTGGCCCTCGTACTCGGTGGTGTCGTCGCCGGGCTGGTCGCCCATGGCAATGGTGGAGACGTAGAGTGAGTCGGCGTCCGGGTGGTTGACGGCCTTGAGAATGTGGCCGACGCGGAGGTCGATGAGGGCGGGGGACAGGGGCGCGGCGGCGGGGGCGGCTTTCTGCGGCTTCGGGGCCTTTTCCTTCTTCTCCTTCTTCGGCTTCTCGCCGGCGGTGGCAGCAGCAGCGGCGGCGCCCTTGACCTCGACAGCCTTTTCCTTGATCTTTTCCTTGGTGCGGTCCACGAGAGTGGCTTCCTTGGCGGCGCCAGCACCCCCCGTGGCAGCCGCAGCCGCCGCCTTTTCCTTCTTCAAGCGCTCCTTTTCCGCCCTGGCGTCGACGGGGGGCTTGACGTAGCGCACGTCGTCCTGGTCAACCTTGACCTTCTGCTCCGGGGCGAGGCCGAGGCCAAACTGGGGCGAGTTCTGGACAAAGTCGAGGTGGCGGACGATATGCGGATGGCCCCGTTCCCCAGAGCGCTCGTCGGGGGACCACTTTGCGACGGCGGGGGCGAGGGCCTCGTATACGGCGACATCGGCCTTGCTGGGCTTGGAGCCGAGCAGGGTGGTGCGGGAGGCGAGGTGGGCGTTGAGGGTGTCGAGCATGTCGGGCTGAGTGGCGGCCTTGAGGCGCTCCGAGGTGGTGAGCCACTGCTGGATCTCTGCCTCCTCGGTGGGCGAGTACGTCTGGGAGCTGAGGGCGGCCATTCTGGGCAGCGGGCGCGAGGAGGAGAAGAAGCTGCGGGCGATGGGGTGGCGCAGGACGCGGAGGGGGAACAGCTTGGCTGATGTGGGGGAGGAGAAGCCCGGAGCTGGAAGCTGGCTTCTCTTGGGACTCGTGTATGCTCTGATGTGTGAGTCTTTGGTCGTGAAGGTATCGATAGGTGGTGAGTCAGTTGCGGATGGAAATGGCGGTGGTGGTTCGTTTTCCCATTGCTTACTAAGATGAGCAAGCTCTTGCCCCTCCAGCTGTGGATAGAGGGCAAGGCGGGGCACGAGGGGCAAGCTGCGTGCTGTGGCCTGTAAGTGAGGGGCAGAGATCACATGACCTGGCCGCCATGCCGGTTGCTGAGTGAGGGAATTGAAGCATCGCGATCAGAGGTCAATGCAGCCGCTCGACCTGGCAAAAGCTGGACTCTCTGGCCATGACATGGTGGAAAGAGACCCGTTTCTGCTGCCATGGCAGCTGACAGCGGGAGCCTAGCGGGAGCCTAGCGGGAGCTGGTGCGTCGATGACTTGTCGACGAGCCAAAGGGTCCATGCTTCAGCTCGACAGGTTTCGCAGTGCAAGGATTCTGTGTCTTTACACTCTCTACACTTGATGTCAAGAGGTCCCGAATACCGGGCAGTGAAGCCACCTATGGTATGTTTGGCGTATTCTCGGTGCACGCATGTCGTCGCTGATCCCTTGGCCTACCAACAAAGGCCACTTTGGTCGACAGGTCCTTTGTCTATCGTCTCCATCTGGACTGTTGCCGTGGACCCTTCTCCATGGCTCCCATGCCTGTCCGAGCCCCTGGCTGACACATGACTCCATGTGCCTGTTCAGCTAAACAGGAGGGATCCGGCTGTGAAGAAGTGCCTAGCGGCAGTTTCAAAAGACCAATGTGGCCACTTGCCGCCTCAAGCTACCTAAGATTCTGATAGAGCTGTCGTAATTCGGATGACCCATGACTCAAACCTACCATTCGAGCTGGATGACGTCTCGCAGAGTGCTCCTACCTATACGCAGCGATCTCCCTGCCATACGGTTCGTCCGAACCTGCGATACACTTGTCTGCAGCCTGTGGATACGCATAAGCCGCAAATGGGGCGTCTCAGTCGGACCGTGAGAGTGTAGTGCTTGCCGGCCTGGCCATGCACTTCAAGCCCATCTTCAGGGTTGACAGAGCCTATTCTGCGGCCCTCGTCAAGGGTGTGCCTGTGAGCATTGCGCAACTGTATGCCGAGCCGCGGCTGTCCAGCTCAGCTCGCTTCGTTGACCTGTTACAACGAGAGGGCGTCACTGGAGAGAGAGGCGCGGTAGAGCATAGAAACAAATCCCTTGCTCATCTCGGGGTTGCCTTGCTCACCCATGTGCCTAGCTCCTCCTCCAGAGACAAATGTATAAAGTCTGTCACGGCCCCAGCCGATGATGTCGGTATCCAGCCTCAAGCGTTTACGCACACACAGTCGCTTCATCCAACCCCAAGAACCCCTAATAATGCGCATCAACGCAGCTGTAGCCGCCGCCGTCGCCGCTTTTGGGCTTCACCTGGCTGGCGCAGTGCCCGCTCCGGCCGACAACCAGACCGCCGCTGACCCTCCCCTTCGCCTCATCAAGACGTCCGAGGACGACCCTGGGAAACTGGTCACAGAGAAGGAAATGTCCCGCTTGACCTCGGAAGGCATTGGGTTCATGGACGTGACCGACGTTACTCAAGTTGGTCTCACCCCTCAAGTCGAACCGCCTCAGGGCGAGACAGGGACTTATGCTGCTGTACAGAACACGAATTCGACTCTCGTTGCTCGCCAGGGCGTGCGGTATCCGGGCAGGGTCCGGCATGTGGACGAGGCAAACGAGCTCATCCGCGACATCAAGATGAAGGAACCGGAAAGGTGGTTGGAAACACTGACAAAGTAAGACTTGCACGCCTGTCGGCTCGCGGGCAGACGGAGCCACGTTGTGTCCAAGAGGTGCTGACAGCGACGCCGTTAGCTTCTACACGCGCTACTTCAACTCACCGTCTGGCATAGAAGCCGCCGCCTGGCTATATAACGAGGCTATCGAGGTTGCGTCGGCCAATGGCGACATTACCGTGACGCGGTTCAGGCACGAATGGGAGCAGCCGTCGATCATTGTTCAGATTCCCGGCAAATCCCGGAATCTGGGTGAGTTTCACCATCGGCGTGGAGGGCGCGTCGGTTAACCCGGCGCTCAGTCATTCTCGGGGCGCACTTCGACTGCACAGCCGGCGGCCCCGACATACGAAGCCCCGGGGCCGACGACAACGGCTCGGGCGTCGTCGTCGTCCTCGAGACGCTTCGCGTTTTGGCCAAGGCGGGCTTCGTGCCCGAAAACACCATCGAGTTTCACTTCTACGCCGCCGAAGAAGTCGGGCTGCGAGGCTCCATGGATATCTTCCGCCATTACGCGGAAGAAGGGAAGCGCGTCATCGCCATGTTGAACCAGGACATGGAGGGCCGGTCGGCCAACGTCCTGGCCTCGGTGGTGACCGACTATGTTTACGCACCACTGGCGGAATACATGTATGTCTTGGCAAGCCACTACCTGGGCAGGCCGCCGTCGCGCACGAAGTGTGGCTACGCATGCTCCGACCACGCCAGTGCCTATCAGTACTCCTTCCGTATGACCTGTCCTGTCCCTGTTGCGCCCACAACTTGCGTCAAGGCTGACAATGTCGCGATAGCTGCCGTCTTGGTAATCGAGGACACGTTTGAAAGCGCATCTCGCGAGCGGGATACATCCGACGATGTGAGTTGCCGTGTTGGTTGACATGAAATGATGACGACGAAGCTGACAGGGGCTCGCAGACGCTCGACAAGGTTGAAGGAGCCACGCTTTACCGCCACACCAAGCTTGCGATTGGCTACGTTGTCGAGGCGTCTTACGTCAGGGGGGACTGAAGAATCGCGAGGGTGAATGTGGTGATGGCTGGAGTCGTCTGTTGGCAAGAGGGAGTTGGGAGTTGAGGGTACGTATGGCTCTCACGTGATCGAGCCGCCAAGGCACGGATTGGTAGATTGGGTTAGCGGCCAGCAGGACTTGCACTTAGTACTTCTTAACGCGTGACCGCGTTGCTGTTTCGCGTCGCTGGTGGCGTCACAGAGTTCGCGATTCGCCTGAAGGAATCACGATCTTTTTTTCTCGCCTCTTTATTGCCTGCCAACAGTTGCTCCAATTGCCCAGTTGCGCTCGAGTCCCCTCTCCAGCTTCCGTCTAAAGCCCGATTACCATCCATCTGGCCTCTTCTCGCCGTTGCTCCAATCTCGACTTGAACTTTTAACTCATTTTTTGCATCAAAACGCCCTCCTTCTCGACGCCGTCTGGCCAACGTCTCTCCACTGCCGCCAGCTGCAAGACCGTTGGCAGCGCCGGTCGTCGCGCACTTGTTCGCGTTTCTGTACTCAACGCCTCGCTCCTGTCAAGAATTTCTCATTTCTCCCCGCGAGCTGCACTCATCCAACATCTCTTCACCCCAACTCCATCGCTTCAGCGCTGCCCAACGCCGCTTGCCGCCTCACCATGGCGGCATCCTCATCATCCGACGTCGAGTCCATAATGTCCGATGCGCGCAACCCCGCCAGTCCCCCAAGTTCTCCGCCACCGGACGCCTCCCCCGAAGCAGACGGGGTCGATGATGCCTTGCAAAAGCACGAGGACCAGGCCCGTCAGGACAACATCAAGGCCGAGGAGCAGCGTCGCAAAGCCTCGGACAAGAAACGGAAGAAGAAGAAAAAGGCAGAGACCAAGGCGGAGAGAGAGGCCAAGGCGCGCGAGCTCGACGAGCTCCTCATGAAGTCCGCCGCATTCAGTGATATTCTGACGAAGAAGACCCAGGTTCTCGGCCGAGTCGGGTCCAGTCTCGACGGCAAGGTCTTGGGCGAACACGGTCTGCAGATGGCACAACAGCCCAAGTGCCTCGTGGGCGGCACCATGCGCGAGTACCAGCTCGAAGGCCTAACCTGGATGTATGAGATTTGCGCTCAGGGCATGAGTGGTATTTTGGCCGACGAAATGGGTCTCGGTAAGCACATACCAATCTGCCATCCAAACCGCATACCGTGACTGACATGATTCGCAGGAAAAACCGTCCAGACCATTTCCCTCATCGCTCTCCTGCGCGAGCAGGAGAACTACCTGGGCCCCCATCTCATCGTCGCGCCCCTCAGCACCCTGAGCAACTGGATGGACGAGTTCCACAAATGGACGCCGTCAATCCCTGTCATCATGTATCACGGCAACCAGCGAGAACGCGAGTCCATCTTCAAGTCGAGGATGATGAACAACCTCGAGCAAGGAAGGCCTAACACAAAGTTTCCCGTTGTGTGTACATCTTACGAAATGGTTCTCAGAGACCAACACAATCTGTCGAGGATAAACTGGGAGTTCATCATCATTGTAAGCACTGCCGGTTCCACGGACATGCCTCGTTCTTTTCGCTGACCGATTCCTCCAGGATGAAGGCCATCGCATGAAAAATGCCGAGTCCAAGTTGTTCCAACAGCTGCGTCAGTTCTCCTCCGCAACGCGACTCCTGATCACAGGAACGCCCCTCCAAAACAACCTCAAGGAGCTCTGGTCCCTCCTCCATTTCCTTCTGCCAAACATCTTTACAGATTGGGACGCATTTGAATCCTGGTTTGACTTTTCCGACCTCGAGAACGAAGAGTCGACCGAAACCTTCATCGGTGACAGAAAGAACCAAGACCTTGTCAAGAAGATCCACCTGATCCTCCAGCCGCTTCTACTCCGACGCATCAAGCAGGATGTTGCCGCTTACCTTCCCAAGAAGCGCGAGTACGTCCTCTTTGCTCCAATGACCAAGGAGCAGACGGACCTGTACAACGCCTTCACGGACGGCGACACCGATACACGGGCGTACCTTGAGCAAATAGCCGTCGAGAAGATGACGAGCTACCTTGCCCCCCCGTCCAAACCTCGTACCGCTGCCAAAAAACAAACGTCCCTCCCTCTTCGCCAAAGCCCATCGAGCAAGAAGACGGCCGATCGTCTTGCGCCCTCTGGACCCAACGCATTCGCCTTGATGATGGGCAAGTGCGGACCCGGGCGCCCTCCTCAGAAAACGACGACCGCTGAGCCCCCCGCGCGCGCCGAGACTGCCGAGAGCAAGCTGTTGAAGCGCAAGGCTGCCCCGACTAGCCCTGTTCCCGACCCGAAGAGTGCCAAGTCAAGTAGGGCGTCGACTCCGGCCAGCTCTCGGGGGCGAGGCCGCAAGACGAGATCGTATAAGGATGCTAACACAGATGAGGAGGATGCCTTGTCGGACGACGCGTTTGAAGCAAGGCTTGCAGATGAGCTGGCCGCTGACGAGGTCAAGCATGAGACGCAGGGGGACGCGAGGTCGCCGGAGGAGATGAAACTTGCGCAGAGCCTGGAGCTTGCCAGTAAGCCCCCCTGTCATCCCTCTGCGGTACAGGAACGAAACTAACTTTGCCTCTGTAGAAAAACAGATTGCTCAGAAGAAACTAGGCAATCCGCTCGCTCAGCTCCGGCTCGTCTGCAATTCCCCTCACAACTTCTACAACCCCTGGGCCGCCAATCCGAACATCCCCGTCGACGAATCCCTCATCACGGCGTCAGGCAAGATGCTGCTGCTCGACCGCCTCCTGCCCAAGCTGTTCAGGGAGGGCCACAAGGTGCTCATCTTTTCGCAGTTCACAACGCAGCTCGACATCCTCGAAGACTACTGCCGCGAACTCCGCGGATGGAAGGTTTGTCGCATCGACGGCTCCGTGCAGCAGGACAGCCGGCGGCAGCAGATCCACGACTTCAACACGGATCCCGAGCACAGGCTGTTCTTGCTGTCGACGCGGGCGGGCGGGCAGGGCATCAACCTCGCGTCGGCCGACACCGTCGTCTTGTTCGACAGCGACTTCAACCCGCAGCAGGATCTCCAGGCGCAGGACCGCTGCCACCGCATCGGCCAGACGCGCCCCGTTATCGTCTACCGCCTCGCCACGCGCGCCACCGTCGAGGAATCCCTGCTCATGTCCGCCGACGCCAAGCGGCGCCTCGAGAAACTCGTCATCCGCAAGGGCGGCTTCAAGTCGATGCACCAGAAGATGAACAACACCTCGGCCGCCGCCAACGCGGAACAAGACCTTGACCCGGACACGCTCCGCCGCCTCCTCCTCCGCGACGGCCTCGTCTACCACACCTCGGGCGGCGACGACGTCCTTGCCGAGGCGGACCTGCGCGCCCTGTGCGACCGCAGCGACGACGCGTTTGACCGTGCGGCCAGCGGGCTGGGCGACGCGGATCGGTACCGTGTTGTCGAGACGGGTGCGGATGCTATTCGCCTGACGCGCAAGGACTAGCTGCCATGGATGGGATGGCTCTCTCGCTTTGACATTTACATGCTGCCCTCATTTAGATATAGACGTGCTGCTGATGCTGCTACAGATGAATCAAGGTGTCTAGCGCATCGCCTGAATAGAAAGGGAGATCACTGTCCCACGTACATTTCCCCCCATCTTCACATGACCATCGTTGACCTGACCATGTGCACGCTTCTGTTGAGCATCGTCCATGTTTGCAGCTATTCTTCAAACCGGTCAACGCTGGCCGCTCACGACCAGAGTTCGCCGTTCCCAATACGATTTCCTCTCTGCTCTCTGCATCAAGCTTGGTTTCTGTAACCTCCCCCACCCCCCTTTCTTCTCCCCCATGGCGTCGTGGCCAGGCGCCTGGAGGCCATGGCTGGTCCTTCTGCCAAGACAGAAAACGCCGTGGACTCAGCTTGAATCCGGTTGGGCTAGGCCGGGCTAAAAACGGCACCCTGCCGTCAGCGCCGCCTCTGGCTTCGACATCAGATTAGGCGAATGGAATTTGTGAATATTATTCCTTGCTCTTTGCCGGAAGCGAGCAAGACGTCCCTTGTCTTTTTGGCCCCGGAACTCAAAATAGTGTATGTCCGACATTGGCCTATCATGTTTCCTGTAACACTGCACTTGTACGTATCAGACGAGCCTGAAGTGTCTCCATGGTCCTTTGGCAGAATCGGGTAAGCTGGCGTCGTTGAACCGTGTCGGTCAGCTCGATCACGGCGTTGGAGTCGCGGTAGTGGCAGAACGCTATATCAGGAGCAAAATATGCCAAATCAATTGCCAGGAACTTGAGGTAGAACTTGTCCTTGTGTCGCTTCTATTGTAACGAGGCCATTGCTGAGTAAAAGACACGAATGGCGGTCCGAGCCCCTGACCAAAAACCGGGTTAACGCGTATCGCCAGGATAGTGTCCAAGTAGTCCTAGTTACAGTAGGAGAGAAGAAGAGGGAGAGGGGAAGGCGGGAAAAGTATGCTCTCGAAGTCGTTAGTGAGGAAACGACCAGGAGCTAGATTTGCACCACCAGAGAGCGCCCTCTTCGAGACGCACTTTAGCAACGGTGGTTTTAGGTACACGTACACAAACGACGACAGTGTGCGCTCATGGCCGGGATGTGGTTAAGTTGCCCCTTGTCCGACGGGCAACTCGTGCTGAACTGCATTAATGCGATGCTTATTGCTCTTGCGTAGGAAAGCTGGAGGTATCTAAAGAAGCAGCCACGAGCAGCCAGCTCGCCGTCACCGTTCGGCATTACAAAGAAACCCCACCGAGGCCTCGAAGAAGAGCTTCAGTGGCTCTGACAGGAGCATTGACTTGTTGGAGAAAGTCATCGGCGACGGCAAGTTGCCGGATGCCACGCCGACTGGCATGCTGGACCTGGAAAAGCAAAGCCAGCTCGCCCGTTTGAGTCGGCTTGTCGTTCATAGGGCTGACCCTGGCGCGATATAGTGTCCAAACTCTTGTATGCCATGCTCATCCCGTTCCTCTGGCGGCTGAAGGGCTGGAAGACAGTCCTCGTCGACACGCAACCCAATTGCGACAGCGGCGACACGATCCCGCGTATCCCAAACGACTGCCCCAAGGTCTGCGTCGACGGCAAGCGATACCATCTTGTCCGGCCCGAAGGTGCTGCCATGTGCAACTCGAGGTTGAGAAGCGAGAATTGGGACAATAATGCACGCTGCAGTAAGTTGCTGACTTCAGAAGGTTTTGATGCGCTCGATGGTAGCGATTGGGAGGGTCTTCGGCGGGAGCACATGGTGGCCAGATGTGTTGGCCCTGTTCTTTCGGAACATGTTGATATTTTTTCTTCATTTGTGTGTTTCTATTACTTCCCCGCGGGCAGCCAATTGCTCTGGCCAGCATCGTCGCCCGCACCAAGGTCAACTGGAAGAGCCCATCCGAAAGAGTCCAGTGGCCTGACCTCACCGACGACGAGAAGTTCGACAAGACGTGGGGTTGGATCAACGACAACAACATGTCCAGAGCCCCAGCCTCCTCGACATTCTCGTGTGCGGTATAGACGAGATCACTACCAGCTGGAGGCTCACCGCGAAGGAATACTACGCTTGGCCATGCAATAGGCCACAGGTGACGGTCCTGAGACCCGAGAAAATGGGCCTTGCCACGGAGATGGCGGTAGAGCATCACTGATCGCCACGCTGCTCGTGAAATGTGCTGCCATTGCTGCTCATCAGCTTTGTGTACATGGTCGTACAAGCTGAGCCTCCATCTGCGATCAAGGCGCTCAAGGTGACAGCAATGCTAGCTCCTAATCAAAGCCTTTTTGACGCAAACTAGGACCCTTGGCTTGACGATTCTCCCTTATGTACCTCGTGTAGTATCTTTAAGCAAAATACTCGGACGCTTGTATCCCTCGCATACCTATAAGAGACCCCTTGTCGTAGGGAAGCTGCAATGAATCTGATGAAAGCCATCAATGCCAACGAGGCAGTGTCCGCTCTCATTCTTGACTGTCTTTCCTATTAACGGAACTTGCTTCGGCACTGATAAGAGCAACGCCTTGGAACGAGCTTTGGTATTATCTCGCTCAGTGTCAGAACGGTTGATCTGCGGCCTGCCTAGTAGGGCAATACACGAATCGGATGGATGAGCCCAACGAGGCTCTTGAAGATGTTGATTGATCTGTTCCGTGTGTGTTGAAGCCGATCAAGATCTCCGCTTCAAGGGGGAAAATGAGGTAGTTCCCTCGGCCCCTGACCTCGGAGTCCTTGCACGTGATCGTCCCGTCACCTCCGCAATTCAGATCTGACGGTAATTATCCAGAACTCGCCCACCGAAGTATCCAGGACCAAAGGTAGCAAAAGACTTCCATGTAGCGCCTTCAATGCAGATTTTCCCCATCTTCTTTGGAATACAAGGCAGACAGCAGCATCAGTTGAGCTCCGTCACGTAGCCAATCTGCCTCCTCGCATTCCCCATGGCCGCCCCCCCCGGCTGCCCGTCGGCCAGCCGCTTGGCCAGCTTCTCCTGGCTCTCGACGAGCTTGCGCTGCGCCTCGAGGCGGTTCTTGATGCGCGCCTCGGCTCCCTGCTCCACTCTCTCCAGCTCCTGCCGCTCGCTGATGCGGATCGAGCTCAGGGCGCGGGCGTTATCGGTGCGCTCCGTGTTGAGCTTCGTCTCCCACTCGAGCGCCTTGCGTTGCCGCGACTCTGCCGCCTCGAGCTCCGTCGCCGCCAGCGCCCGCGACCGACCGATGGACGCGTCGGCGATTGCGTGTTGCTCCGCCAGCCGACGCTGGTGGGCGGCACCGGCAATCGACTCCTCGAGCTGGGCGCGGGAGCGGAGCGAGGCGATTTCCTCGCCATGAAGCTTCCTGCGGCGAGCGTCGTCCATTTCCGCCTTTTGCGCCGCAATCTGCTGCTCAACGCCGGCAATCTCTCGCTTGCGCGCCAGGGCAATGGAAAAGTCTTCGGTATCCTCCGCCATGCGCGCCAGGCGGGCTTTACGTGCTCGCTCCTGGACTTCCATGTCCTCAGGCAGTCCGACGGCGCCGTCAGGCTGAGGACCCTCGTTGGCGTAGAAGACATCCGTTGCTCGGCTGGCACGTAGCACCGAAAGCAGCTCGGCGTTGGAGTTCGAAGGGGCCAGGGCTCTCGAGATGTACATTGTGGGAGAGTACGTGTACCCCTCGAAGACGAGGTGGTTGAACGGCTTGTTGACATGCTTCCACATCCCACTCTTAAGCAGCGCCCTGCTTGTCACGACGGGATCCGCCGCGTCGAAGCACAGATGCAGCAAAGACTTGCCGTTTGACTCAAGCGTCAGGTCGGAGTTTGAACCGATGAGAAAGGCCATCACCCTTTGCATGGTTCGCTCCTTTTCCGCCGTCATTTCACCAGCGTCGGATCCGCGAAGACAGACCTCGCCGAGGGCGCTTCTCCCTCCATGCAACGGGCTCGGGAAGTCGGGATCATGGCCCGACTGCACGAGGATCTTGACTGCTGCATAGTTTAGATCCCTGGCGGCGTTGTGTAGGGACCCGTCGTCTCTGGCAGGTTCCGCCGCCAGCAGACTGGTCATCATTTGCACGGCAATGTCTCCGCCCATGTTGGTCGCCATGGAAAGAGGCGTTCTTCCTTGAGAATCGAGGGCGTCGACATCTGCACCTTCGAGAAGCAACAACTTCACGAGATCCGGTCGTTTTGATTGTACGGCAATCATGAGTGGCGTACTTCGCGACATGCTTGCTTCCGCATTCACCTTGGCTGTGTACATGATCAGCAAACCCTCACGTCAAAATAAGTGTAACGGCAACTCACCTCCGCGTTCGACAAGCAGCTCAATCACCGCTGAACTGACACGCTTTTGTGGCTGAGCAATGGCCCATAGCAGCAGCGTGACCTCTTCCTCTTCCATCTCGGGGCCAATGCTGCAGGTGGTTGCCTGGTCATGGTAAAAGCCTGCATCCAACAAAGTACTCAAAACGGCCGTCGATCTTGGATACTGCTTGATTGCTCGTACGAGCACCGGCTCGGACCCCGGAAGCCCAATCATGACGTCAATCCCAACTTCGCCATGCTGGTACTCTGCAAACATCTTGAAGAGGTCCAAAACACCGTCTTGGGTGAGGACGGTGTCGAAGATGCACTGGAAGGCCACCGACAGGGCGTGTGCCGATGGGTGACATTCGAGAAGCTTCGCCGTCCAGGGCACGTCTGCCATCGAGGCAGCCTGCTGTAGGAGCTCGCCGTCGTTGTAGTCGACGTCGGGTTCGTGTGCCATCAAGAGGTCGAAGAAAGGATTAGCAAAGTCCCTCGACTCTGGCGTCGACCTTTTCATGATCGAAACCAGTGCACAGCTCAAAGCCTCGGCGTGTACGCCTCTGCTGAGGAGCAATTTTGCGGTCTCAATCCCGACCTCGGTGAACCAGTCATCGAAATTGTTGGATGCGAATGCTTGGCTGAATGCTTGGGTGATATCCTCCTTAGACAGCTCTCGCTGAAGGAGGAGGGCTAAGGATGAGGGCGACATGCTTCGCGCGGCGTCTACCAAGGTCTTGCATCCGTTGGCGGAGGGAGATGCGCCATGGTTGAGCAGTAGCCGTATAAGGCGCTCCTCGGGGTCCTCTTCATTGACGGCATCGTTGAGTGCCGTGTGCAAGTCCTCAGTTACCTGTAAACCAGCCTTTACGAGGCTGCAAACGACGCGGTATCGAGAGTCGCGCTCCAGGCCCCAGCAAGCCTTGAGAGCCCTGACGAGATTCAGCTGCGACACCCTTTTCTGCTCAACCATGTCAGTACGATGATACTATGCCTCTGGTGCATGTCCCGTCCTTACTCGGTTTCGTCCTTCATGCGACAGGCCAAGCAAAAGGTCAAGGCTCCCAACGAATGCACTCCTGGTAGCCAGGACCACGCATTCTCCATTGTTGAAATTGGGGTCAGCCCCCGAGGCGAGGAGAACATTGAGCACTGCTTGACCATCGTCCCCGCTCCTCGCAGCCGATTCCAGCTGAGCATCGACCGCTTCGCCGCTGACACCCCTCTTCAAAAGATGTTCAAAGATGACGGCACGCTTGCCCAGGCTGCCAACTTCTGTTGCGGCCTGAAACCCTGCCAGTAAGGTCTTCATGCTTGTATCCGCATCTGCTTTCAGAAGCACGCCCAAAACCTCGACGGACCCCCCACGGCAAGCTTCGACAATGGCCTGGCCGTCGTTGCTCGTAATACTGGCACCGTGGGCTATGAGTACGTCGCCAAGCATAAGGTCTCCGTCGCGAGCAGCGATCAACAGGGCGCTAGAAGTCGATTCGGTCGAAACACCAGCAGCCAGGAGACTCTGGCCCATCTTGCCTCGTGCAACGCGGTCCTTGATTCCCATGACCTTGGCTAGGGCGGAGCTTCGGACTTCGACCGAGGACTTTGACCGAGCCAACAGAAGATCCATGACCTGGGGAGACTCCATGGATGCGGACAGACCAAGTGCCTCTCCATCGGAAGTGTCAGCGCCGGCAGCTAGGGCACTAAGGAGGGATATGTCGGTTGGATACGTAGAGATGGCATGCGTCAAGGCACGGTTGATCTCGAGGGGGCTGGCACCGGCCTGTACCAGCTTCTTCGCCAGGGTCAAGCGCTCCATCGGCTCCGGGATGCGAAGCACGTGCGGCAGGGCAGCGCCCAAGGCTGGCGGGCTCGGTGGTACGCCGCAGTTGAACAGGATATCAACGATTTGCATCTTTGCCGCAATGACTGCGTGGCAAAGAGCGGCGGCGTTGTAGGCGTTTGGGTCTGCCCCGGAGGCAAGTAGACGTTTCAGCGTGGACAGAGACGCTGTTTCAGCACTGCCTCGAGCGACAGACTGTACTTCGTGAACGAGCACCCAGCTGAGATCTTCCTGGCGCGTCGACTTGGACAGGATCATGTTCAGCTTTCTTGCCTTGCCTTCAGTGGATGACAGAGGCACCAGCTCTCTGAGGCTGTGGGTGATTGACGAGGCCGACGGTGTTCCCTGACCGAGGACCTCCTCGAGCACCTTGGGATCCGGATTGACAACGGCCTGCTTCACAACGGCGCCGTCGAGGAGGTTAACATCAGCACCCCCTTCTCGAAGAAGCAGGCGCAGAAGAGACATGTCGACCGGCTTTTCCGACAGTGCTCCGAGCAAGGCTGTGGCGACCTCCTGGACCCCAATCACGGCCCCGGCATTGAGCAACAAGATCATCATGTCGTAACGCACCCGGTGGTCAGAAACCTGCATCACGTCTTGCATGCGAGCTGCAGCCGTTTGCGGAGACGCCTTTTGGAGCAAGGCACCAAGAAGCTCCATATCCTTTTGCTTGATGAGGGAGGACAAGCCCGATCCCTGGCTGTAGTTGACGTCTGCGTCATAGCGGAGGAGCAACTTGATGAGAGAATTGTCCCTCTTGGAAACATCCTCGTTGATGGCGTCGTGGAGCGCGGCGTGCAGACACGGGCCAGATAAAGATCTCTGCAGAAACAACTCGACCATCTGGTACCGGTCCACGTTGGAGAGCTTTCTGGTGAAAGGGAACACGGCCGATAGCGTTTGCTGCGACGGGTGTCGGGCAAGGAGCGTCTGCGTCATCTCAATGTCTCCGCGGAGCACGGTCGTTCGGAGAGCCTCGCCAGATTTGTGGTCGACGGACGCAATCTCGTGCTTGTTCCGGGCAGTTGGAGAGTGTGGGCTTGGAGAGGCGTGGGGTGGGAGAGAGAAGTAAGGGGTAAGCAGCAAGTCCAGCGAGCTCATGTCGCCCGCCTCGGCAGCGTCAATCAACATGTCGTCGAGGACGACGCCGTTAGCGCCTTTGCGAAGCAACAGGCTGAGAATGGCGTGCCGTTGGTCGAATGGCGCTTGCTTTTCGATCAGCGGCACGCAACTCGAAGCCAGAGCAGGGCTGAGGACGGCGCCATCGCGGAGCAACGACTCGACGAGGTGGACCTGTCCGCGCGAGATGGCCGTCTTTAATACGGCGGCGTCGTTGTATTCCACCGAAGCACCGTAGGCGGCCAGGAGGGTTGCCATTTCGACGGAATGAGACTGATATGACTTTTCAAGTGCCTGGGCGACGACGAGGCCGTCGGCGCCTGCGCATAAGAGAAGCTCCGCTAGGTCGAGCTTCATGGACGGGCTGAGGGTCGAGTGGTCATGGAGCATCTGAAAGGCCTCGTCCAGACCTGGCCTTTGAGGGGGTCGGTTTCCCATGACAATTGCCAGGGCAATGTCTCGCCTTGCCGAGCTGACGGCGGACTTGAGCGCCTCGGCTTGGTTGTGGTTGCCGTCTGCGGTGGAGCGGCTGAGGTGCAGGACGGTTTCCAGACAGCCGGCGCGCGCGGCGTCGCACATGGAGGCCGAAGTCCAGGCGGGCGGGGGGCGACCGTCGGAGCGGAGGACGAGGCTGATCAAGTGCGATTGGCCGTGGATGACACACGCTTGGCGAAATGCGTCCTGGCCATCGGGAGACTGGGCCGCGCTGGCGCCATAGGCCAGGAGAAGCTCGACCATGGCCGTGTCGCCGCCGCGGATGGCTGCGGGCAAACAGGCGTCGATGGCAAAGGAGTCGGCGTGAGGAAGCAGGACCTGGGCGAGGTCATACTGCCTGCCATCGACGGCGAGCCTCAGCAGGCGGGCGCGGTCTTCAAAGGAGTCGACGCTGCGGCGTCTGCTGAGGATGCCCGTCTTGTGCTTCTGCGAAGCGCCAAGATCGACGCCGGCCGCGGCCAGCTTAGCGATGAGGGCCTCGGCCACACCAGGAGAGCCGGCATTGGCGACCCAGGCGGTCAGGACCTCGAGGGTCTCTCGGGGATCCCAGTTCTTGCCCTTCTTCAGGTTGCCGGAGGAAAAGGCGTGGCGGAGGCCCGACTTGGGGCGGTACTGGGCGGCATCGGCGGCGCGGCGCTGCATGAGGTCCTCGGCCGTCTGGTCATCGGCCGATGTCCGAAACGATGGAGCGTGCGGCGGACGGGTGAGCGGCGCGGGAGCCGGGGGCAGGACTATGTCCCATTGCTGGGAGAGCTGGATGATGCGCCGCTGGCGGTCGTTTGGGGTGCAGGGCGACATTGCGGAGGCGACATTGGGCGGCGAGTGAGTGACGAGAAGGAGGCCGAAGCGAGAAAGATTGGAGGATAGAAGGCGGATGAGAGAGAAGCCAGAGGCTGGGTCGGTCAGTCAGCTCAGCTCAGCTCAGCGGACTGGAGGGTGTTGGATCGGCAGCGTGTTCGTCGGTTAATGCTGCTGCCAGGGTATCGCGTCGACGATGACGAAGCTGCATCTGGGTGCGATGCTTTGAGCCGAGATTTGGTGAGTGAGGCTCTGGAGGAGGGGAAAAGTCTGGAGGTCAGGGAGCACTGGGGATGAGAATCGCGCACGCCTTCCTTCCTCTTTGGTTAAGGTTCAGGTTGCTCTTTGATCCCTTGACCGACGCCCCAAAAGACTCGACCGACCGCTGAAGGCCACTGTAGCTTTAGGGCAGCTCAGGCGATGATCTCTGAAGCCCACTGTACTTTAGGGCAGTCCAGGCGGCGACCTCTGAAGCCAGCTGTGTAGGCACCCCAGGCCAGTTCAGGCGGCGAACTCTGAAAGCCTCTTTTGCGGAGGTGGCATTTGCACGAGGTGAATACGAATTAGAGAGAGACGGGGTTTATTCTTAAACAACAATTCCATTGTTGTACAGTGGGGTCCCCACTCTATCAGAGTTCGTCACTCGATGAGCCACACTCGAGTAGTGGCAGCGATCGGCAGGGCGTTTCGAAACCATGCCTTGCAGACGATGGAATTGTCGTACAAACTAATAATTATCCGTACATCCACCACGTCTTTTTGGCCTTACTTTCCTACCTCGAGGTTCATAAATCAGTACTGTACAGACGACCCCTGTAGGCCAAGCCAACTCTGATGACGAGGTCCTGTCGTCCTACATTAGTAGTACTCCAGCTTTTGTGCTTGTTGTGGATTCCCCAGCCAACAAGCATCCACGACTCCCTCGTATCTTGCTTGGCCTTTCCGACACGGCCATCTCTGTTTCCAGTTTGCCCTCTATTTCATCACCTACAGCGATGCCTGAGTCGCGCCCAGAACCACGCCATCTCGTCCCCAACATTCGAGCTCGCCGCAGCCGGACCTGGACGCAACAGGCACCTGGCCGGCCGCATGCACTGCCTCCCGGGCATGCTCCTCCCGGCCTGCAGGATTCATCATCGGCGGAGCATGAACCGCCCAGCTATACCTCGTAGCGCATAGCAGGTTGCGCGGCCCACCCCGGCTTCGCTCCACATCCAACTGCGCTTCTATTTTAAGCACGACGCCTTACTGTACAGGCACTGCAGGGTTTTAAGCCTGAGTACTGTCCGTGTGTAGCCCGTACAGCGCCACATGGTCGGGTGATTCCGCGCCCTTTGCTCCCGACGGCGCTCAATGCCGCCTCCGATCCCGACAGCCGCCGAGTGGGGCCGAGTCTCGCAAGCCTGTCCTCCGGGTCCCTCTCCTCCTCTGATTCTTTGCCTTGGCATTGCACGAGACCTCGGCGGGCGAAGTGCTGCGTCGTTGTAGATGGTAGATGGATCAAGCTCTTTGGCCTCACTGTCTGCGAGTTATTCTCGTTGCGTCAAGATGCCGGCAGCTCCACTAATAAGGCGTGACTGACCTGCCTCGAGTTTGTCAGCGCCGAGCCACGGCGATTGATGATCCATCATCTTGCTCCTTGCATCTATGCAAATGGCACTGTCCCGTCTCCGCAGTCCATCCGCACTCCTATCCCGCTCTCTGTTGAGCCGTCACCCCCCCCCTCCCCCGCAACGCCATTCTCCTCCTCACCACCCCCAGCAACCGCCCACGTTATCCTCCCGCCCTCGCCAGTTGAGCACCATGGCATCATCGTCCTCCCTCCCCAGCACCGCCAAGGCCGTCCAAATCTCCAAGACGGGCGGCGTCGACGTCCTCGAGTACAACGACGTCCCCGTCCCCCCGGCCCCGGGCCCCGGCCAGCTCCTCGTCCGGAACCGCTTCGCCGGCGTCAACTTCATCGACACCTACTTCCGCGTCGGCCTCTACCCGGCCCCCGTCCTGCCCTTGACCCTCGGCCGCGAGGCAGCCGGCGAGGTCGTCGCCGCCGCCCCCGATGCTAGCCCCTCCTTCCCCCCGGGCACCCGCGTCGTCTACTTGGCCGATCCCGACGCCGGCGCCTACGCCGAGTACACGGCCGTCTCCGCCGCAAAGGCCGTCGCCGTCCCCGATGGCCTCGGCCTCGACAAGGCCGCCGCCGTGCTGCTGCAGGGCCTGACTGCCTGGACCTTTATCCGCGAGGCCGCCAACGTCCAGCCCGGCCAGTGGGCCCTTGTCCACGCGGCCGCCGGCGGAGTCGGCCTCTTTCTCGTGCAGATGCTGCGCGTTGCCGGCGCAAAGGTCATCGGCACCGCCAGCTCCGAAGAGAAGCGTGAGCTGGCGCGCAAAAACGGCGCGGGGTGGGTACTCGACTCGCGCAACGACGACATTGTCGCTCGTGTCAAGGAAATCACAGAAGGCCACGGCGTCGATGTCATCTTTGACGGCGTCGGCAAGGCCACCTTTGACGCCGGCTTGGCCATGATTGCCATGAAAGGTCATTTCATTTCCTTTGGAAACGCGGTAAGCGGCCCAAGTTCGATTCCTCTCCACCGATCCAAGCCCTCACACTTGGCCAGTCCGGGGCCGTGCCGCCCGTCAACATACTCCAACTTGGCCAGAAAAACGTCAAGCTCATGCGTCCCGTTCTCTACGGCTATGTGGCGGAGCGCAAGGACCTGGAAAAGTACACGTCGGAGCTGTTCGACCTCGTCACGTCCGGCAAGCTCAACGTCGTCATCCACGATGTCTATCCCCTCAAGGATGCTGCTAGGGCACACACGGACATTGAGAGCAGGAAGACGTCGGGAAAGTTGCTCATCAAATGTGATTAGCTTCATTGACATGTCTTCTCCTTTCCAGATTGATTGAACCGTATTCCTCGTCGGGGGCGCTTCTTTCCGAGCCCTTTCCAGTCACCGTCTTTGGCACCTGACCATCTTTCATCCAAACATGAAGCCTTCTTGACTCGTCTCCACCTTCCGTGACCCTGCTCCGTCTCGCCCTCCAAGCCTAGCTAGGCCTTTGGGGTCTTGATCGCCGCCAACAGCTCTGCCGGGGGCTCTTGTCGATAGCCCTGGGGGTTATTCTTGACCCATCGCCACAGGTCCTCGCATGCTTTTTCCATCGGAATTTCCGTCTTCCACCCGAGCTCCTTGTTTGCCAGCGTCGGGTTGGCCGTCAGGTTCAGGACATCGCCTTGCCTGCGGGGAACAACCTCGTATTTCAGGTCGCGGCCGACGACGGCGCTGAACGCCTTGATCATCTGGAAGACGGTGCTGCCGCGCCCCGAGCCGAGGTTCCAGGCCTTGACGCCGGGCTTGTTGTTGCGCAGGTAGTTGAGGGCGACGAGGTGGCCCTGGGCCAGATCGACAACGTGGATGTAGTCTCGGATGGCGGTTCCGTCGTCGGACGCGTAGTCTGCGTGCATGCGCCGTCAGTCAGTGGCTCACACGAGTGCCCGCCGGGTCCAGTGGGGCTCACCGTCGCCAAAGACCAGGAGCTTATCGCGGTCGCCGGTGGCCACCTTGCCGAGCAGGGGCAGCAGGTTGTAGGGGACGCCCTGGGGATCCTCGCCCATGATGCCGCTCGGGTGGGCGCCGCAGGGGTTGAAGTAGCGCAGCAGGGCGCCGTTCCACTGGTCAAAGGGCTTGCCGGCCTTTTGCAGATTGTTGCGCTGGGCCTTGACAAAGTCGGTGACGACCTGCTCGATCATGGACTTTGTGTGGCCGTAGGTGTTTGTGGGGCCGATGGGGCAGTGCTCAGGGATGGGAATCATGTTCTCGAAGCGGGTCGCGTCGCCGTAGACGGTCGCAGACGAGGAGAAGACGATGTTGGAGACGTTGTTGCGCTCCATGGAGCGCAGGAGGGCGATGCTGCCGCCAACGTTGACACGATAGTACTCGAGGGGGATGTCGCCCGACTCGCCGACGGCCTGAGGCGGCTGGTGTCAGTCGCTCATCCGCGACCATGTCCGAAGGAGGGAAGAGGTTCGGTGGCTTGCCTTGAGGGCGGCAAAGTGAATGACGCTGTCGATGGCCGGGTGCTTGGCAAAGACGCCGTCGAGGGCCTTTTCATCGGTCACGTCGACCTGGTAGAAGTCGGGACGACGGCCGCAGAGGCGCTCGATGCGGTCGATGGCGACCTTTGACGAGTTGTAGAGGCTGTCGACAATGACGACATGGTAGCCGTGCTCGAGGAGGGCGAGGGTGGTAAAAGAGCCGATGTAGCCCGTGCCACTGCCAGGACGACGTTAGCGATAAGGGCGGGCGACGGCGCTGAAGGGCTTCACACCCCGTGACGAGAACTGTTCCGACAGCCATTGTGCGCGCGTTCTTTGTGTGTGTGTTCTCACGAGCAGAAGAGTCGAGGAGAGGGGCGGTGACAGGTGAAGCTACGCCGGATGGAGATGAGGGCGGGGAGGTATTGTTTGATGGGATGGCGGGGTATGAAATTAACGAGCTTACCCCTGAATGTTGGCTTGTGGCTCTTGGTACAGGAGCGAATACAGTGCTTCCCGTCACGGACCCCACTCTGTACGTCTATGGGCACCTTGTCGCACAAAAGCCACAGGTCCATTCCCCCCCCTCAGCCACGTGGACGCCGCCGGCATTTGGGCACGTGATCACGTCTTTGCGCCGCCTAATCCTCGGCGCGCTTCGCCAAGCTCCGTCGCGCGTGCCTCCATCACCGACAAAACAAGCCCAGAGCTGCGTCACAACGAGCGAGCATCCTTCTTTGAAGCCAGTCACTTGAGACGCATTATACTCTTGCATCTGCAGATTCAATTTCTCTTTCTCAGCACTCTCCAGCTCCCATCTTTGGCCCATGATCCTCACTCTCGACGACTGCCCGAATCGCTCTTGACGCCTCACAAGCCTCGCCGATTCACAGACAACCCCATGGCTCTTCTCCCGGCTCCGCCCCAAAATGCCCTTTGTTGATCACCGGCACTCACACGGCCTGCACAAGCTGCAAACAGCTGAACGCGTCCCTTCACCAACAAAGAACTGCCCGGCGCCCGGACCACGCCTGGACTTGAACTCGACGTGTCCGGGGCTTGGAGGGCCAGTCGCTGAGGCCCTTTCTCTTCATTTCACGCCATGCCCCTCGGGTAGAGCCGCTTCCCGCTCTTATCCAACGCGGTTTTCTCGGCAGCTCCATTTCCTCACCTCGGACCGCCTCTCCCCATCTCCCGTGCTCAGGCTCACCTGCATCCACCAACGCGTCCCCATCTACCATCTTCCTTGCTAGGATGCCGCCCAAGGCCTCGTCCGTCCGGCAGCAGCCCAGAATCGCCAGCCGAGAACCAGAAAATCCACCGCCGACTCGGAGCGCCTTGTCCCCTTTCCAAAAGCCAAACTTGCCAGCCCTCAAGGCTACCCCCAGCTCACGCCGGCAGTACTCTTACGGCGCTGCAGCAGAGCCACTTCCCTCACGGCCTAGCCGAGGACTTCAACGAGGCCAGGTGCTAGACCTGAGCAACGCCGTCAGAAACGCCCTCATCCGCCGCGACCAAGATGAGCTGCACGATGACATTCCATCGACTTCCCGCGCCCAGTCAGAAAGCGTCGACCCAGATGAGGATGAGTTAGCCAGCGTTTCGGTGGCTGCCTGTGAGTCATTCATGGCGCAGGCCTCTCCATATGAATCTTAACTGACTGTGCTCAGCCAACGTCAAGTCCAGAGCACAAGCCCCCGCACCAACTTTTCCTGGACCCTTCACAGGTCGGTTGACCGAGGAGAGTGAAATCGACGACAACCGCAGCTTCGCCATGGAGAGCGACTACTACGGGGATGCGACGATAGCATCGTCACCCGGAAGTCTACCGCCTCGCCAAGCGACCCGCGCGCTCGGCTCTACTGGAGCCGCTCTCACTAGGTTTCAGTCCCGTACTACAAATTTCCTACACTCTCATCGCCTTCGGAATTCAGCGCAAAGCGATTTCTCCGAGTCTCAAAGCAAGCCAGAAGCCAACAATTCCATGTCCCTGACTCAAACTTCCACTGCGCCAGCAACAGAGCATCGAGAACGTACCGAACGGGCGGATGAGGCCGACTCGGAAGACAAGGGAGAGCAGCCCTTCGAGCCCATCAGCTTGCGACGAGGAGAAAGGACCAACACACCTGCTCCAAGCAACATGGCGGGCACCCGGAATGCGTCTGTCATTGGACAAATCCGGGCGGGCCCGGCCAGCCCACCGGAGTCAGAGGACAGGATACAGCAGCAAAGTTCTACGTCGGCGGCGCAGGACCCGAAACCACTCCGGCAACGCGCGAACAGGCGGGATGCGGGCGAGGACTCGTCTGTCGCCAATCATGCCAAGAAAGTAGGACCCGAAAACGATGATTCCGGGAATGAGGTCAACCTAGAGACTGGACGGTGGCTGAACGGCGCAACCAAAGCAACTGCAGTCTCAAACATACCCTCAAGTCAGGAACACGATTCAACGCGATTTCTTGGTCATGGGGACGACAGACGTGCAAACACTGGGCTCGAAGAGGAACCAGCTATTGACTGGTGGCAGCTTTTGAACCCTTGGACGTACGTCAAGGCCACGGCCTGGATGGTCGAGGCCACCGGGCAGCGGCTCGTGGACTTGTACAGCTCGGTCGTTTCCGCCAGTCTGCGGCGGCACATACTGTCAGCTACGCAGATCCTTCCTCGCATCGTTGCCGGCGTACTCACCTTGGTCTTGGTACTGGCTTTGCTGAGCGCGGGAATGGCCAGGTTCAAAGCCGATGCTGTCGACGACCTCTGGTCGCCCGTGGCGAGAGGCACCCCGTGGTACTCACTAGGAGGCGTCGCGAGGAAAATAAGAAGCTCACTACCCACGCTCTCGTGGTCGTCTCGCAATCGCTGGGACGACATCGTGGCTTCCTGGGAGACGGATGACCCTCGCCACTCGGACATCGATGACTACCTTCAAAAGATAGAGCAGGCATTTCGTTTGCTTACCGAGGCCGGCAGACTCCACGACGCGTCTCTGGAGAAGCTAGAAGCTGTTGTGCCCAAAGTCGTGCATATGCAGCTCAAGGATGGCAAGCCCGTGGTTGCTCCGGAATTCTGGCATGCCCTGCGTGATCTGATCCACGAGGACGGATCATTCTTGACTTTCAACAGGAAAGGTGGTGACTACGAGATGAGCTCGGAGCGGCAGTGGAAAGCCATTGCGATGCGCCTGGTCGGAGACGCGGCGTTTACGAACAAGCTCAACATTAGCATAGGCAAAGTCGAAAGCAAGTTGGTCGACCGGTTGACGCTCTGGGAAACGTGGGTCAGGGAAAACGACGCCAAGGTCAAGCAGAGCCTCGGGTCTGCTCTGGACCAGATCAAGTCTGCGGGGTCGCAGCGCGAATGGGACGAGCGCCTCGGCAAGACGGTCAAGGAGCAAATCAAAGAGTACGAGCACCAAGGCCGCTTTGTCGGGCGCGACGAATACCTGCGGCTCGTGCAGAGCGAAGTCTCCAGCCACCTCTCCGAGTTCCGGGCAGAGCTTGCCGAGCTCCAACCGCAGCTCGAAAAGTTGGTGCGCGAGTCCATCGACCTGGCCAAGGGAGACACCCCTCCCGGCATGAGCGGCGCTGAAGTCACGGCGCTGGTCAACGGGCTACTGCGCAAGGCCTTTGCCGACATCAACCTCGAGGCCCTGGCCAGGGGCAAGATCCACGCCCACTGGGACACGGAGCTGCGCAACCAGGTCAACTACTTTTCGCCCGCGGCCGGGGCCACCGTTGACGCGAAGCACTCCTCGGCCACGTACGACCCCTTCTCCAAAACCTACTCGACGCTCAAGGCCCATAGAAAGGGCCTGCGCGCCCGGAACCCGCACATTGCCGCCCTGCAGCCGTGGCACGACGACGGCGACTGCTGGTGCGCGGCGCGCTCGTGCAACCACCGCGGCAACCCGCACGGCGCCTCGCTCGCCGTGCAGCTGGCTTACCGTGTGGTGCCGCAGCACCTCGTCGTCGAGCACATCTTGCCGGGGGCGACGACGGAGCCGGGCGCCCGGCCGCGCGAGATTGAGCTCTACGCCGCCATCGACGACGCCGTGGTGCGCGAGCGCGTGCGTGACTTTGCGGCGGCGCACCTGCCTACGTCGGCCGACGGCGAGGACAGCGTCGACGGATGGAACTACAAGCCCGCCGACCTGCCGGAGCGCTTCGTCATGGTCGGCCGCTTCGTCTACGCCGGCGCCGAGCTGCATGGCGGCGTGCACGTGCACCGTCTCAGCAGCGAGCTGGTGGCGCTGGGGGCCGACACGGATCACGTCGTGGTGCGGGCCGTAAGCAACCACGGCGCCGTCAACCACACGTGCTTTTACCGCGTCCGGCTCTACGGGCACAATGTCGAGCTGGGCGACGGCGACGATGAGCTCGCCGGAGGGGAAGGGGGCTGGCAGTGACCAACACGCCGAGTCGACGCGGAAGGAAGGAGTACGGCGAACAGAGAGGGTCGGTTGCTGTTTGACCGACGGAATTTCTGCTCTTGTTTTGCTTTTGGGAACGAATGATACCTACAATGCGGCTGTTGCACAAGGCGTTGGGAGAAAAGGGAAGCGGGAGAGGCTCATTCTCCAACAGTTGAAGCAAGGATGGCACTCATATTAGCGGGCCTCGACCCCGAAACATGTCCAGATATTGCAATTTTCCCCAACTTTGCCGCTGATATGTATCTGCGACTGCACTCCGTTTTCCAAGAAAAACCAGCGCGGTGAAGCCCTTTTGCCATATGTAGCGTAGACATTCGGAGCGACGGGGGGGGTATATATCCTGTCCAGACGCCGCCGCCGGTCCACGCGCGTCTCACCCATCCAGCAGCCCCGTGGCCAGGGCTTCCAGGCCCTCGAGCGTCTCGGGCTGCTCGTCGACCTCGAACACCTTGCCCGCCTTGCTCGTCTTCTTCGTTTTGCTGCAGCCGTTCTTGGCGCCGTCGGACTCGTCGTCTTGGAACCATTTCTTGGCCTTTTTCCGCGGCGGCTCGGCCTCAGGCTCCTCGGCCCCGGACTCGCCGGCGCCGGCGCCGGCCAAGGGCAGCGACCGCAGCAAAGCCAGCGCGTCTTGCCTACCGCCGTCGACGTCGGCGCCGCCCAGCACGGGCGGGGGCCCAGCCTCGTCCGTCGACAGGGCCTGCTGCTCGAGGGCCTCCCTGGCCCTTCGCCGGTCGCGCTTCTCCCGCTTGCGCTGCCTGGCGAGCTGCTTGTCGTCGACGTCGGCTTCGCGCACGCGTGCCGCCTCGCTCTCGACGAAGCGCTGCCGCTGCTCGTGCGCGGGGCCTTGCTGCTCAAAGTCGTCCTTGTCCTGCAGCTCGTAGATGGCGTGGGCGGCGCCGTCGTCGTCAAAGACGAGCTTGGTCGGGTTGCCCTTGAACTTGAGCATCTTCTTCTTGGACTGCAGCGCCTTTTCGCGCCGCTTCGAGTCCACCACGTATGGCTCGTCGCCGCCGAGGCCCTCGATGACCTTTGCGGCGCTGACGTCTGCCTTTTTGGACTCTGCGTCCAGGTCGTCGTCGTTTAGGCGCCGCTTGACCTGGAGGAACTCGTCATCGTCGTCATCGTCACCTCGCTGGGCCTGGTCACCCTGACTGCTGTCCACGACGAGTTTCGAGTAGTGACTGGACAGCACATCCTGGTTCTGCCGCTCAAACATCTTGTCGTATTTTGTCCGGACCTCGTTCTTGTTCTTGTTCTTTTTCAGTTTCACGCCCTCGTCGTCCGCGTCCGATTCCGACTCGGACCCACCCGACATGCCTGCGCGCGGTGCGTTCTTGATCCTTTTCACGTCCTCGCCCTTTTGGAACTTGATTTGAGGCGTCCCCGGCAGGCCCATGCTTGCGGCAAAGGCGTCGAGGTCGAGTTTGCTGAGCTTGAAGACGTCTTTGTCTTTTTGCAGATGGATCGCTCGCGTGTAGCTGATAAAGGCCTTTTGCCCGAGGTACTTGAGATCTGGGTTCTGGAAGCACATGTTTTGTAATTGGTCTTTGATGTCACGCTTCTTCTTTTCCTTGACGTGGACCTTCTGGATGGGAATCTTCTTTTGTTGGAGCTTCCTGATCATGCCGGTCTCCTCGCTCGGATCAAGAAAGAGTACGGCATGGCCAGTGCTCTGGTAGCGAGCCGTCCGACCGACCCGGTGAATGTACGTGTCGACGTCCTCGGGGCAGTCGGCTTGTATGACCCAGTCGACGGCAGGAAAGTCGATGCCGCGGGCAACCACGTCCGTGGCAAACAGGCACGAGTTCTTCGCGGCGGTGAAGCGGGAGGTGATTTCGAGGCGCGCCACCTGCTTTTGGCGGCCGTGGAGGTGGAGCAGGGGGATACCGGGCTGGAGGTGGCGGAAGCTCTCGTAGACGAAGCGAACCTGCTTGCCTGAGCTGAGGAAGACGATGATCTTGCTCGTGAGGTTCGACTTGATGAAGCCGTAGAGGTTGTCGAGTTTTTCAGGCAGGGGCGTGACGATGTAGTGTTGCTGGAGGTTGGTCGGGGTGGCGGTGGCGGCGGCCTCGTGGACGGAGACGTACTCGGGGTCGCGGAGGCTGAGGCGGGCCAAGTCGGAGACCTTTTTGCTCTGGGTGGCGCTGAAGAGGAGGGTCTGACGCGTCTTGGGCAGGTGCTCGACGAGTGCGTCGACGGCAGACTGGAAGCCCATATCCATGATGCGGTCGGCCTCGTCGAGGACCAGCACTTGCAGGTTATCGGCGTTGAAGCCGGCGGTCTGGTCGAGGTGCTGGAGCATGCGGCCGGGTGTGCAAACGAGAATGTTCATGCGAGACAGGCGCTCGGCCTCGTCCTTGAGGCTCTTGCCGCCGATAACGAGGCCGGCGGAAAAGGCATGGTACCGGCCGATCTTGCGGAGGACGTGGAAGATCTGGACGGCGAGCTCGCGGGTCGGGGAGATGATGAGGGCGCCGAGGCCGTCGAACTCTGTCCACTGGGCGCGGTAGAGCTTGTCCAAGACGGGGACGAGAAAGGCCAGCGTCTTGCCGCTGCCCGTCTTGGCGGCGCCGAGGATGTCGCAACCCTTGAGTCCGAGGGGGATGGCACGCTGCTGGACGTCGGTCAGGGACTGGAAGTGCGAGGCCTTGAGGCCGGCGGCGGTGGGCTCGGCGAGGGGGAGGTCGGAGAAGTTTTGGATGTCGGTCGACTTGGGGCCCTGGAGAAGGTCAGTCACAGGTGATGCGATGGGAGGCGAAAAGAAAGGGCCTTACGAGGTTGGCGACGGCGGCCTCGAGCGCCTGCAGGTCGTCGTGGTCCCTCTTCCTCTTTTGCTGGCGCACCTCGGTCTTGCCCAGCTTTGGGGGGGCCTGCTTCCGCCGGGGGGGCTGGGTTGCCATTTCGCCGCTGTCGTGGGGGGTTTGGCGAGGTGTTGAAGCCGTCACGATGGCGACGCTGTAGGGGAAAAATTGCCGTCGAGAAATTTGGTTGGCGCTACTCGGTACATCCATCGGCATCGCCAAGCGCCGACGGCCGATGCCCCACCTTGGAGCCTCGTCCTACAGCACCCGTTTGCACTGCCAGCGGAGCCGTCCACTGTGAGTCGCCCGGGTTCAGAGAAAACGCAGGGCTTTCTGGGTGCTGGAGTGAAGTTTCAGTTATATGTATGTACTGTAAGTACCAGTAGTCTACGAATAGTGTCGTCCGATACGCAATTCAACCAACGACCACCTGCGTGGCGATGCTTGCAATTGGAATCCGAGTCATATTTCTGGTTTCTAATGACTCGCAACACAGGTGTTCGCACAATGGATTGCAGGCCTTTCTATATGGAAACCATGTGCGCAGACTCGGCAGAACCAACACCCCGCCGTGCAATCGCAGCAATCATGGCCAGCGACGACATCTGCCACCGTCGTCGGTTACGTCGCCGCCGAGTCGGTGCTGCGACAACCAAAAAGCGCGCCTTGGTTGCTGCACCTGCCAGGCCCCGGGACGATGTTGGACTTGTCGAGGATGAGCGACACGGACTTGCCCTCGTTCGCGTTGAAGAAATGGTACCCCCTAGGACCGCCATGTCTGCACTGCGTGGCGCGGACCTGTTGGACCAGCTCGCTTACAGCGTTGGCGCCCTCGTCCCGGACCTTGTCCTTGTTTCCCTCGAACTTATCTAGCCGGCTTATGAGGTCGTCGGGCACCGTCGCATGGGCCAGCCTTGCGCCAAATTCTACCGAACTTTTGCTCTGGATGGGCAGGATTCCGGGCAAGATGGGGATGGTTGCAAAGGCGTTAGAATACTCCCTCAGTCTTGTCTCGAAACTATCGTAGGCGCTGCCGTTGAAGAACAGCTGCGAGATGACAAAGTCGGCGCCGGCCTCGACCTTTTTCGCGAGGAAGGGGAGGTCGTGTTCAAGGCTCTGGCTTCGCGCATCGCTCGCGTTGAAATGGCCCTCGGGGTAGGCCGCGACGCCGATGCAGAAGTAGTCGCCGTGTTTCTCTCGTATGTGCCGCACCAGGTCGACAGCCCAGGGAAAGGCTTGCGGCACTGCGCTGTTCTCGGCACCTGGCAATCGGTTGCCGCGGACGGCAAAGATGTTTCGGATGCCACGAGCCCTTACATCCTCCAGCGTCCTGTCCATCTCCTGAGTGCTCATGTTGGTACCCGACATGTGCAGCAGTGCCGTGACGCCAAGCTCGCGCTGGCACAGCTCGGCGAACTCCAGTGACTGCTCCGGCGTCGTGTTGCCAATACGCCAGGTAACGCTGACGAAGAGCAGTCGTCCGTCTTGCTTCGCGCTGTCGATGCGCTGCCGCAACTTGGCGAGGCTTGTCTCGCTCTGGGGCGGGACCAATTCGAGCGAGTAGTACTCGTCGTCGGCCGGCAAGGCGGCTATCTTGTCCGAGATTCTTTCCGCCGCGTCGGCCGGCTTCGCTTCGCCGCGCCCATCATTGGCAGCAGCTCGGCCGGGAGGGGCCGATAGTATGGCCTCGGGACTTGACCCGGGCGCCACGGCGGCTACCAGACACGTGGATACAAAGCAACCCCATAAAGCGAGTCTCATGATGCCTGCCCAAGGAGTGGCAAGAGAAGGAACAAGTCGCGCTCTGTTTGCGTGTCCGATGGCTCATAATGTGGCCAAGGTTGGGAGATTGCAAGCAGCGAGTCATTTATGCACAAGCACGGTGGCAGCTTCGTTAGTAATTGGGGTGGACCTTTGCATGGAGAAGAGACTGTGTGGGTTGTGCCGACCTCGCTCTTAAACTCTTTAACTGCCGGTGACCAAACTGCCTAATTAACCAGCCGACCAAGAGCGGTCCAGCACAACAGTACACTCTGTGCTGGTTTAGCAGTCAATCTTTTAGCGCTATAGGCTGAAGTAGAGAGTATCTTGTTCTAGTTTCCTAGGAAGCAAGGGTTTACCCTCGTGAATGTAGCCTTTTTTATCTACAAGTACTCTCTAACCATGCCATGTTGCTGACCTTTTCGATTTAGGCACAAGCACTACAGTCCCCCACTCAGCCTTTAAGGAATTAGTCGCCCTGGAACACGGAATGCTCCTGTAACACAGTGTGCTACGGTAGCAGATTTATGTAATTGCCCTTCCTTATTTCTTAACATTTAGTTGAGGCCTAAGTCAGACTCAACCCAATTTGGTCCAACTTGTACCTTCCAACACGAAAATGCCATTCGATGTAGCCAAGCATATACACATGATAGGCTTCTAAAACCTTTGTTTCCGAGCTTAGCGACCTCCGAATAGTTCTGTCTAGAGACAGTGTGTGGTCACTTGTCCAAGCCAGAGCTGCCAAGTCGCTGCACACCTTTTCCTGGGCGAGATTGGAAATGAGACTGTTCTCCTTTGCAAGAACTCGCTCCTTATAGAAGGAGATAATGTCGTTCACATAGCATATGATATCGCGCAAGTTTGGTACAATCTGCACGTAACTTGCGAGACATTCTCGCTCGGGAAACTCACATTCAGGAAATAGAAAATAGCCAAAGGCGGCCCCATACCCATTTTCGACCCGCATCCACAAAGAAAATCCGGCTGTCGCTTTTGGAAACCCTCCTGGGAATGCCGCCTCTAATGCAAGGCCGTTGATGGCGTCGAGGGTGGAGCCGATGATGATGTTCGTTCCAGAGTCTCCAAAATACTTGGGAGTCTCGATTGTCAGATGACGTGCAAGGCAATCTAAGTGAGGGTGGCCTTGGGGCTCTGCCTTGCCGAATTTCAGGGCAAATGTGCGCATCTCTGGTACGTCGACTAGAAGATCATCGGCTCCAATGGTCAAAATTGCATACACGGCAATGTATACCTAGGGACTTGTTAGACTGCATACAAATCAGCCTGGATACGTACAGTGAACACTAGAGATTACCTTGACGTTCATTGAAAGGTGTTGGTGGCAGAGGGAAGCAAACAAGCAACTAGGCTGGTGAAGATATTGCAGGGGCCGGAATGCAGCATCGGAGAGCTTCAACTCCGCAACTTTGTGCATTACCTTGTCTTCGAGATCTAGGTCACGAGTCACAGAGCTTTGCTGAAGGGAGAAGCCCATGTCCTTCACAAATTCCCTGATCTTCTGCCCAACAAGCTGCGTCTGCGTCGCCCCGTCAAGAGGCTGCTGCCTCGCAATCTTCTCGGCATTCATCATGCCTTTACTGACGAATGTCTGAGACAGAGGCTGAGGAGCGGGAGACAGGAATGCGGATGCGTTTCAAGTCGTAAAGTAAAGAGGGTGTTTTGGAGGCGCGAAAGATGGTACAGACACAAAGATTTGTAGGCCCAAGAGGGGAATAAGGGTAATTCTTATAGCAGAATTATTGGAATTCTAGGTAAGGTACTAATCTAACTCTTTTGCTAGTATCATGTCAACGTCTTCTTCAAAGGCGCTGGGTGGGGTCACAAAATGGATGGGAAGTTGTCTTTTTGAAACCCCCTTGCAGTCAATGACGTGGGCAGCTGGAAGGTTAGCATGCGATATGCGTGGTCTAGCTAAGTTTTCGTGGCCTTGTGACAATCTTGCTGCCCGTTGTGGATGAGCGCTTTACTGACTTACTGTTTTGGTGATGCCCTCGTCACACTGATTGCAGCCCACTAGGATCACAAAGCGGCTGCAGTTACATGCCCCACCGGAACATTAGAGTAGAGGGACTTAGAAATAGATCTGCTCTTCCTCTATTAGGGAAGTATATAACTATGGGTACCTTTTCTCCGAAGGACTTTCCGTTACGCAGCGCAGGCAGCCCGTCTGCCAGCCAATTTGCCATAGAGGTGATCAGGTATATTCCGCGATCAGGCCTCCCAAGAGAATTCAGTATTTTTACCTGTGATATAGGTGGATAGATATATTATCAGAGATAAAGCCAATTACCGGGCAGCATCCGGAAGTGTAGATGGAGCCGCTCGAGGATTGATCCTAGTGGCTGTAGTTCTCGCTAGGAGTATGTGGTCAAGCTGACCGTCCCCCCCCCCCTGCTATATCTATAGATATAGCCCTCATATGTGTAGAGGCATCATTAAGCTGAAAGGCAGAAAGCGGCCCCTTTCTTAATAGCAACCTTCCCCAAGAAGGAATCTAAGCGGTCCCCTACTAGCTCAATATATTAAGAATAGAGATGGACATGCATTTACGCAAGGAGGAGTATGTCTTCTCTCTTTGACACGATGAACGCTGCTAAATGGGGTGTAGATGCTCTTTTATTTGGAAATCTTGTCTAGCTTACTTTGCGCAATGCGTTGTTGGTCAGGCCCTATCGCAATAAGCGTAGTGTGGAGACGAAATGACTGCTGGGAGAAGGGCAAGGAAGATGCTGGCCACAAGGACAAGACTTTATAACCGACCAGTGCTCACCTCCAGGCATGACCTTTGTTCCCTCTTGCCGGGAACCCTGCCACTCTCGCAAGCAAACTCAGCCGCTTTAACGCCCCTCGATATCAGGCCACATCAGGAGCACCTGGGAGCGCGCGCTTGCGGCAGGATTGGTTTGAGGGTCGGTGTTTGCCGTCTCATCATGGGCGCACGGCAGCCAGGCTTTCTAACCATACGCCATACGCCATACGGACCCGTATGGTTTATGGTGTATGGTTTATTCTCATATGGTGAAATAAACCATATATTGCCCATACGAGAAATGACGTCATTGCTCATGACACCCGTGGCAGTTACGACGTTATCCATCTACGATGGAGATATTTTTCTCAGGCAAACAACCCAAGGAGCGAACTCACCGCGGAATGCACGAATTGAACGGCATATGAGAATCAACTCAAATATCCCTAATGTAATTTGGGTCTGCTATTGCATTTTCAGTTCTACACGCAACCTATTCCTAGCTTCCGAATTATGTTTTTGGGTGACATACCGTGACAATCTAAGCAACGTTGGTTACCCTACACTCTTTTCGCCGCATTCATGAGGAATCCACTGTTTTTATCTGGCAGGTTCGAGGACACGATCTACGTATTCGCGCTATCTTCACTAATGTCCCACTGCGCGAGGAGAACACGTCCATGCAATTTGAATCATCAAAGGTTCTGCAACTTGGTAAAACCTCACCAAACGTTAGTTGCACCCATCCACTCGCCAAGCATTTCAGCCTCGGGAACTTTACACCGCGTATGGCCATATATGGTCATACGGCTGATTCAGTATGGTATAGGTTTATTGACAATATATGGGCAATATATGGTTTAATTAAACCATACGCGTATGATTAGAAAGCCTGACGGCAGCCCGTCCATTGGCAAAGATTCATTGCTGCCTACCTCGACACTGCCGCTGCATATTATTATGCATGGTGACAACTGTTGGCTCTGGGGTGGTCGCATCGACCATTGCAGGGCGCTTATAAGTTACAGACGGGTGTCGACGTCTTGCTGGCGGGGTCCCTGTCGGTAATTATCTTAAAAATGGGTCTTAAGTGCGGACAGAGATATGTGTAAGTGTAAATAGTATTACTCGTAATTATACCCCGTAATTACAGAACGTGCCAGACACCCTTTCAGACGCGCCTTCCTTTGCTTCTCTTTTGGTCCTGGAGTTGACAACTGATTAGGTAGTACTCGTAGAGGAAAAATGACGGTCCGGCCTGAGATGCGGGCTTGTATCACGAGCGTCGAACCCCGGACGAACTGATGAGAGGCTGCGAAGACAGATTGAGGAAAAGCAGCCGGGAATGCCCTCGTCGTCCGCCGACTGAACAGTGCCAGATTGCCTCCAACCATGCTATGCAGGCGGCACGACCCTTGCCTGGTGCCAGGGAACCAAGCTTGCGCCATTCAAGTTCCGCCATGATGCGCATCGCGACATCGAGTTTCTCGAGCCCATCGGGGCAGGGCTTCACTCCCAAGTCTTTCGCGCCAAGATCGACGGCCAAATATATGCCGTCAAACTCGTGCGTTTACTTGCGCCGCCTCGAATCGGTTGCCGCTTCGGACTCTAACATTCTCGATAGTTCCGTTTCACCCATCACCGCGAGCTGGCGCCGCCCACCTTCTTCAATCACGGCTTGGTCTCCGTAGATGAAATCATCAATAACTATGACCCGTTCTACTGCGAGTGCCGCGCCTATGGCCGGCTGAAAGAGGTTGGTCGAGAGGACCTTGCCGCACGCTGTTACGGCTACCTTCTCCTCCGCCCAGATCAAGAGGTCGAGCTCAACCGCCGAGGATGCCAGGATTTCTGGCATCGCCGGCCCGCTACCAAGGGTCGCCCCATCCGAGGCATCGTCAAAGAATACATCCCAGGCTGTGACGTGCCTTTTGTATTCAACGACCTGCCCCGGATGAAGCGCGACATCAAGGCCCTGAACCGCCGACTGGGCATTGTCAACTGGGATGTCCGCGAAGACAACTATCGTGGCGGTCTTCTCATCGATTTCAGTCAGGCGCACACCGCGCCGCACATGCAGCTAGACTTTACGTCCAAACTCTTCACGTCCGCAAGCGTCATGGAGTGCTGCGTCCGTGACCAGGCTTGCTTTGACAACATGGTCGAAAGGTGGAATGAAAGCCACCCCCAGCGCAAATTCTGGCACTTTTTCCTGCCCAACGCCCAGTTTGGCATCAACCTTCGCGACAAATCTAGATATCGGCTATCCTTTTACAAGCAAGAAGGTGCCAGCCTGGTGGCTGCATTCTACGACTGGAAGAAGAACAAGCCCGCCAAGCGTACTGCAGCCGTTTTGAACCAGATGAGACGAATCCAAGAGGGCCGGGTCGATAAAGCCACGAGACGCAATGCAACATGAGCGAGGTGGATGGGCAGCGGCTACCGAGAACTTTGCTATTGTCAATGCAAGACGCGATGACCTTACAATGGTACCCGCACAGATAAGGCCTGGTCTCATTCACACAAGGAGCTGTGATAGAACAGACTTCCGACTCGCCGGCAACTCAATGATAGGGAAGGGGGAGAGAATGCGGAATTGTATAGTAAAAGAAAGCGCAGCAAAAGCCTGGTCGCCCATCTATCTACAGTACGAGGGCGTTCGTCACGCTGACTACCCAGATAGAGCAGTATAATGTAAACTCATAGAATTTAGGGGCTTAGCACCCACCCTTAGTTCGATTATTGGTAATTATCCTTCTACCACCGGGCAATCTCCGGAGACTACTTCGTAGCATCGCCCCGACGCCTTTAGATTCGTCTGCTGATCCTTGCCTTCTACCGGGGGTGAAGTCGGGGTATTATGCCGTCAGATCCGAGGATGCCATGGTCACGTACAGATGATCAGGAGGCCCTGAGCGCAAGTCGCTTGATGAAACGGGATAAATTGGAATTAAGGATGGAAGCAAGGAATACCCTTTCACACATCCGAAGTATATGTGACAATTGACCAACGTCTTCGTCTGCCCCCAACCATCTGATCATCGTTGCATCGTGCCTTTGCCCTATTGTTAAACAAGCCAAAGGACCTCTCTTCTACCACTTAGAGGAAGCCTATAGGTTAATAGAGAACAATGCTTCCTTCTTCCCTCCTTACTGGACAGTAGCTGAGAGTGGGAATTAACTGGTGTTAAATACAGGTTAATAATAGAAAGCGCTATTGGGCCCACCGAATCGGGTGGGACGTGCCGTCACCTTTGGTGGGCTCGACAGTGAGGCGGAGCCGCCCCGAGGTACAGTCTACCTGGCTAGGGTCAGGGTACGTAGCTGTCAGCAACCCAGTCAGGGGGCACGCCGTCCACATGACGGCCAGTCGGCTCGCTGCCCCCAAGCCGATTTTGGCGCGCACCCGCTTCCTTCGTCTTCCATCTTGAGACCTGAGGGCAAAAGTCCGTTTCTTGACTTCACCAAAATAGATGTCAGCGGACCCCGGGGCGTAGTATGCTGGCTTTAAAAGCCAGCTACCCCGCCCATCCTATCCAACAAACTCGGTCAACCTCCTCCCATCGCTCTTACCAGTCACCAACAACTCCCCCGCTCTGCCGATTGATTCCACGGCAGAGTCGACCATGGCACCCACCGTCGGTGTCAAACAACGAAACAGCAGGCACGCCGCACATCATGCCGACTTCCTACGAAGATTCGCTTAACGCGAGAAAGAGAAATAGACGATCATAAAACCAGGCGCTCTCGATGCTAGATAGCGCGCCGCCCTTCGTAAATAACTAAAGGATATACGCTTTCTTAAGCCGGATTACGCCGACGGAACCAAGATTAATATCGCCCGGATATTAAGGAAATAGAAGATGTGCGTTTCCCTCGGCGTAATAGGGGAATTTATTTACTAATAAGCACTTAGATACTATAGCGCTACCGAAAGCGGTCCTTAGATAGACGTAATTAAAAGACTTAATTAGCTAATAGCGATAGAATTCCTTAACTATCTTTATAAACGATAGAAGATTATATCCGAAGGTATATCGTAGGAATATTAGCGTTAATATAAGTAGCTATATAGTAGCGTAATAGGTCGATATTTTAATAGGAACGATAATAAGGAGGTTTAAAAGGTATATTTACTTCTTCTTCCCTTCGCTATTAGCGAGGTCTAATTAGAAAGATATTCCTATAGTAGTATAATACCGTTCTAGTTTTAAAGTAGAAACTCTAACCCTTAAATATTAATAGAAAGCTAGTCCTTAGTACTAATAACCTTTTAGTTTTATAAACCTTTAATATTATATATAATAAAGACGTTTTTCCTTTTAAGTAATATCGTATTTACCTCTTAAGCTATTATCTACTCCTTATATTTACTAGAGCTTAGCCTAGTAAAATTATAAATAATAAGAAAAAGAAGCTAAAAAATAAAACTTATAAGGACCTATATAGCCTTAAAGGTATTAAGCTTAATAACTTAAACGATAATATAGATTAACCTATTAATAAAGACTTTTATCTACTTAAGAATATACTTTACTAAGAGGCTATATCGTATAGATAACTAAAAGTACTATACTATAAAGATATATACCTTTTAATAGTATACTATCTAGAAATAAGTATTAATATTTTAACTATAGTAATTAAATTTTCTTATTATAAAGGAGTAGATAGGAAGCTTAAACTATATACTATTTACTCTTAATACTTTTAAAACTATTAATACTTTATAAGGGATAAACCTATTAAGGGGTTTATATTAATAGATATAATAAGGCGTAGTTTAAGTAATAATAAGTATATTATATTAATAATAAGTTAGAGGTTATAGACTATAGAGTATAACTAAGTAATTAAGTAATCGGAATTAAAGATAAGATTATAATAGAGATCGTAATAGTTATATTAAAAGCTATCGAGCTATCTATTTAAAGGAGTATTCCGTTCCTTCCTTATATATCTTAAGAGCTTCCTTAGATCGCTAAGAGCACCGGGTAATCCCGTTACCTAGGAGCGCTAAAGCGCTAGAGCGATCCTACGATCTTAGCCGTAGAGCATTAAAGCGCTCGAGTAACCTATCGCTCTAAACTTAATTAGCCTATCGGTCTATCTAATATTCCTTACTCCCTATATTACGTATCCTCGTAATATATACTAGTCCCCCGCGGTTTACTTAGACCGTAGTTATAATAGGATGCCTCCCCTTCTTTTAGTTTTATCCTTAAAACCTACTACCTTAGCTACTATATATAAATATACCCTTATCGCGTTATATATAAGTATAATCGTCCTTTATCTTTTATCCTTCTTAGGATATACTATTAATAGTATATCTAGTTATATTTAAAAATCTTATTCTTATAATTCTAATAAATTATATTAATAATTAAAGCTAGTATCTTAAACCGAGATCTATAGTATTAAAATTATACCTTACTCCTATTATATTTAGTTAGGCCTAACTTATAAGGTCGGCGAGCGTTTTAATTAGTATTTTAAATATACCTTTATAAGCCGTTCTTATAATAGTTATAATATAGCGTCCGCTTATTTATTTTATCCTTTCCTTTCTTATTATTCTTTTTACTAATATTCCTTTTTTTCTAGTTTATTATATTATAAATTAATAGTAAAAGATTAATTTAAACGAATAGAAAGTAAAAAAAGCATTAAAAGAAGTAATAGCTTACCTAGCTTAGATTAAGAAATAAAAGCGTTTCTTAAAGGACTAAGGTAGTAAGTTATTTTAGTAGGGTATATATATCGCGTATACTATATACGTTAATTAACGCTGTCGCTTATATCTAATAGGCGGCTATATCTTTTTCGTGATAGTTATAAGCCCGGGCGGAGGGCCCGTGGTTCGAGTCCCGCTAGCGCAATTAAGCGCGGTTTTAGCATAGGGCCTGCCTATATAAAAATTCCCTCTATAGTCTAGGATATCTAGGTATCCCGGGACGAATTAACCCGGCATCCCTAAGGGGGTATATCGCGTATACTATATACGTTAATTTACGCTATCGCTTATATCTAATAGGCGGCTATATCTTTTTCGTAATAATATAAGCTATTAATAAAGAAGATAGTATAATATATTCTTTTTAAGATAAATCGGTTTATTTATTAAATAAGGAATCTATTATTATTAGCGAGGTTTAATTATTTAGCGCCTTAAATATATTAAACTAAGATACTATCCTTAGTAACCTTATATTTCTAAGTAAGGGTTCGCTTAATAGAACTATTAAAGTAGAAAACTATAGTAAGTTAAGTACTTAAGTAGTTCCTAGGTATTTTCCTTTAGTTTATATCCCTTTTACTTAATAAGGTATTCTTATTACTAACCTTATTTTCTTATATTTAGTATTTATTTAGCTTTATATTCTTAATTATTATTAACTTTAATTTTATCTTATAGTTTAGCGTTTTATAGTACTAGTTTTAGTAATAAGATATAAAATATTAGGTATATTTATATTACTATTAGTAGCGAAAGTTTATAGTTAACTTTTAAAATAGTTTTCTTAACCTTAAATAGTTTAAGTTTCTTAAAATCTAATTTATTACTTAGTCGTTTTATTTTAATATTTTATTATATAAGGTAGACTATATCTCTCTCTTAAAAGATTAGTTCCTATAATCTTTTCTAATTATAGTAAGTAGATATTTATTCTTTAATAAATTAAAGTTCTTATTATATTTCTTTATATAATTTTTATAGCTAATCTACCTATATTATCGCTCGTTCTACTTATAGTCCTTATTAAGTAACCTTAAGTACTTCTAGGTTATATATATAATTAGCGTATACTAGTAAGAGCTTAGTTATTTTTATAACTAAGCTATTATAAGCTAGTTATACTATTAATAGCTATTTAACTTAATCGTTTTATTTATAGCTAATATAGTATTATAAATATTATTTAAGCGTTTAATTAAGTTATTTTATTTATCTATCTATTTATAAGTAATAAGTAATACTAAGCTTATATTTCGTCCTTAATTATATTATAAGAGCTTACTAAAACTTAGCTATAAATATACTTCCTTTATTAAAGATAATCTTATTTAATAGTCTATAATTACTAATAATAGTTTATAGGAATATATATACTAGCTCTTTTATATTACTTACTTATTTATATAGTAAGAAGTACTTATACTTTATTAGTTTATTAGTAATAATAAATATACTATTATACTTAATATTAGTTATAAGTTCTTTTAATAGTAGTAGCTTTATAATATAGTTAAAAGCTATTAAGTCCTATAGTTTCTTTAGTACTAGTAGTAGTTATAATTCTCTATATAGCTTATATCGTTTAGCTTTACTTTATATATAAAGTTTATATTCTTTAATAACTTATTATACTACTTCCTTAAGCTATAGGAAGTTATATTATTATTTAATCTATTTTA